TGCCCCTTTCATGCACCACTCCGGTGTACCATGTGCAGTTCCGCATAATGTTGTCTAGTGCCTTGGCGTGTCTCCAACAACACAGTTTACATCCCGTCTCGTCTGCGGCGATAGTAGAGCGTCTGTAGATGATATAGGTGACAAGTAAAATCTTAAGTTTAAACAACTCACCTGTTCTGGCACGTTCTCAACAGCGTCGCGGCATGTTTTTTGGCTGGACCAGCAGCGGCGGGCTGGGAGACTCCTTGCGCTGTTTTACGCCCACCTCTGGACGCAAATAATCTGTGAAAAGGGCGTTAATGGTTGGTTAAGCGGGGGAAGACGCTTACAGTGATCGACGACCACTTCGACGTCACCAGCGTGTTTCTTGACTGGACGCTCTTGGTAGTCGTCAGATTTCTTTTGTTTGTTCTTGAGACGCTGGGTACCGACACGCGCGTTGTTTTTGTAGAGCTGTATCTCATCCTGTGTCATGTCATGTGCTGATTCACGAAAAACGAGCCTACTTTGTCCAGCACTTTGTAAGCACGCAGGAGAGTAAAGAGAATATCCATGTCTGAAATACCCTGCTTGGTGCTCGGGTTTGCCATGAGAGTGGCATCTGCTTTCAAAAGATCGAGTAGCGACGGGCCACCTGTATGACGAAAGGGATTGAGATATCTAACTCTGCGCAAAATCAGGGTCGCCTACCTTTGTGCTTGACATACTCTCCAATCTTATCAGCGACGTCTGAAGAAAGTCCTTTCTCTTCTGTCATTTCTTTCTTCACTTCTAGCCAAGGAAGCTGTTCTCGATTAGAACCAATATCGGGAATGCATCTCTACCGGATGGTAAGTGGCATTAGGGGCGTGCATTTGCTTGACCTAATCATTCTTCGGGTCAGCTCCCAAACATTCTAATATTTCCACATCGATGCGAGAAGGTAGCTCGAACTTGATCACTACGTAATGTATTGAGAGTGGAGTCAAGGGGGAAGATGTATTGAGAGTGCAGAACGTGAATGTTAAATCGTACTGTATATGATAAAAAAGCAAGATAGCAAAATGAAACGCCTTATGTATGTATTGAAAATCTTGGAGTCAGTGCCCGCTTCTCCTGGCATGGAGATGTCACTGCCTTACGCGTAGTGGTTTTGTTGTATAATTCAGTCCTATTGATGGTGCGTGAGTTACGACAACAATTATCAGATCGAGGGGACGCAACACACCTGACTCAGAGACACAGCAACAATATGCTGTGGTGAGAAGTTCCACCGCGCAAAATGCGACACCACCCACTCCGGCATGACAATTGTGAGATGTTCAGCGAGTGCTGACGAGAATAAACGAGCCGGGAAGTGAGGATAGTGGCGGAAAGGATCGAGGTGAGAATGCAATGGAAGGTGATACCGCACGGCGAAGCATACTCCTCGCTCGGTCTCGAATATATATTTGATAGTCCCTGGTGTCGGTTGTACATTCCTAAGGCCGTCAGGGTAATAAAGAATCAGGCTGTTGCCAACATGAGTGGAGTCGCGAGTGTAGACAAATCCCTCGTGAAGCGTGCGAGCATGCAAGACTGCCGCCGAACTTGAATGAGATGGCGAAGGTCTTCTGGAATGTTTTCTTTTGTAGTCGGGGGCAGCGGGCGATTTTCAGATACATCGCTGGGATTAGCGTTGATCGACGGAGACACAAATTTGTCGAATAGCAACTTGACCTCTCTAAATATGGAGGACAAGAAGGTCGGTTCAGCCAGCATTTGAGCTTTGCAGCTTTGATGTATGACCGGAGGAGAGTTGATTCTTGCTGTCCTGCATACCCGCATAGCATAAGATGTCTATCATTGACAAAGAAATTGAAATGTTACCAAAAATATGATTGCTAGGCAATCGCTGCAGTTGTCCGATGAGCCGCTCATACGGAAACACCACCAGGACCGTACGGGTCCGAAGAGTTGCAGATAGTCCCAAACGTGCAACATATGGCCATTGGTTCGATGGCGTGCATGGGGGAGTATTACCTGTAAATTCCCTATCCAATCGATCATATATGTACGGTATGCGTCTGCGCGATCCTTCGTCATGGATCGCAGACATGCGATACGAATGGCAGAAACAAGGGCCATCGTGTGATCAAGGATGGCACGACGACTGGCTGCAATATCTGAGTTGCGATGTGCCGACCCCTCGCCCCATAAACTGACTAGTGCTATGGGTAAGTATACGGTCGTTAATGTGCGCCATTCGTCGGCCTTCACGGTCCCAGCTTTGGTTTCCCCAAAGTTATAGGGGACTGATCTTAAAAATGAGGGCGTATCTGACGTCTTAATGACATCAGAAATACGTTGCATAACTTCTGGTGTAGCAATACGTGATTTTGACGACTCGGGAGAGAAAGGTGTTTCGACGCTACAAATGGGTCACTTAATCAAGAGAGAACGAAGACAGCAGTATTAAAATGCCTACCCAACCAAGGAGCGATCTAACCCAGTGAACTTTGTAAACTTTTTTGCCGGGGTGCATGACCTCTGGCCCGATGCCCAAGCCTATACATACGAACCGAAGGCATGCTACCTTTTTCGACAAAAGCTTTCTCTCTAAGTCAATAAGGTGATCCTCGACAGCTGAAGGTCAGCTCCCTCCAGGTCTGTAACCGCTTCTGTAAGAAGGCTATAGATTGACTTGATAACGTTGATGTCCTTCTCGTTAAACTCTGGAGGTTTGTTAAGATCGACGTCAACGAAAGGATATTCGAAAGCAGGGATAACGTCGAACTTGCGATTGGCGGAGTCAACTGTGAGGCCTAGAAATTCACGGAAATGAGCTTGTGCGAGACCCTCAAGGAGACAATGCATAGTATCCACAACAATTTGACGGGAGGGATCCCAGTATGATAACCTCCAGAGTGTTGACCATCGCACACCGTGCGACGCAAACAATTTGTTGCGTTCAAGTGAAGTTCCGGCGTTCTTCCAGAGCTCAGCATAGCGACGCACTTCGTTCTTGTCCCTGAGAACCCAATCTTCAGATTGGATATCTGTTCTACCGCAAGTTGACCTGTGCCAGCAATGGCAGGCAGTGCAATAAAAGTGGCTTGTCGGACCCGCCAGCTGAGCAGCCTTTCTCCGCTGGGAGGTCACATACAAGAAACGCTATAAGACTGCGGTAACCCGACCAGTAGCATGGAGAGCTGTGCGAGAATAGCGTATCCCGCGCTCCCAACTTTCCACCATGTCGTCAACCACAGGATCGAGAAAATGATTCAGCTCATCGCCCGAAGGTTCTGAAGGTCCAGGAATGATGCCAGCTAAGTACATGTTCTCAGGTTTATATCGCATCTCGAGGGGGAGATTCAAACATGCACAAGAGATGATGCCGGTAGAAGTCGAAGCATTTCGCTGGAGATTGCCTTCAATGTTGAAAAAATCAATGTTGAGGGTGAACGCGTATCGACCCTCGACGCCTCTGTCGACAAATAGGGATTGCCCGGAAGGACCCTTGAAATCACGAAAGAAGTTGGCATCCCAACATCCTTGATAATATGCGGTGGGCTCCCAATGGACGCCAGCAAATCATCGCAAGGCTTATCCATCAACGCTTCGAGGTCGGGACGAGAGAGCAATCCAGCAAGGTAGTCGTGGAAGTGGTGATAAAGGAAGATTTTAATTGGCACTAATTGGCCATCATGAGAGAGCTGCAACAGCGGTTCATCGCAAGGACCATTCTCTGGTATCGGGCTGTTGAAGCACTTCGCGGGATACCGGACATGACCTGAGTTGAGGCCGGTCGGTTTATAAGTACAGTTGCATGCCGGACAGACTGCGTAGGTTGTAGTCTGGCCATCGAGACTGAAGCGCGAAAGGGTGGTTTCCATAGAGCGCGGAATTTGAGAGAGTATATTTTGACGGCGAGACTCAGAATGAGGGGTCTGAGCATCCATAGCAAGGCTCAAAACGAGGGCAAGGACTCCCATGAGGAACTCCCCGTGTCTGCGACCGATGCCAAAAATGACGACGGAGACGGCCCCTAGAAAGAGGGATACCTGAGCTATCTCGTCGCAGAGTCAACTGGCAAGTCGAAATGGTGTGCTTCACGTATCTCAGTCGAAGGGCACAAGAGGGATGAACAAAACTCACAGGAATCAAATTCGAACGGCTCAGATGTCAGAGGGAGCTCATCTTCCTTGTCGCAAAGGAGCCCGTACATGTCATCACACGACGACTCCAGCTGGGTTTTGTGGGAAACGATAAACGAGACCTTGTGCTTGACTTTTCTGAGGGCCGTCGCGATCACGGCCAGTTCTTCTCGGATAGTTTGAATAACAACACGAGAAGTCGCAGATAAAATTCGACTGCGAGCCTTGACTATCCGTGACTCCACGATATTCAAGGCTAATTGAGATTTTGAACGGCGCCGCTGCTCAACAGCCTGAAGGGCTCGAGCAATGTGTCTGTGGGAACCACTAAGTTAGAAAAATAAGGCGAGGCGGGGTATCCTACTCACTGCATGTCATCTACCGTGGTTGTACCGTTCAGAGAATGGTAGATCTGTCCCTTGTCTTGCTGAACTTCCGAACGCGAATTCCAGAGTTTGCTGTGACTGTCTGGGTTGGTATCATTGTCGGTAAGCGTGATGGCAAATAGCTCGGCGGCGAGAATGTCGACCTGCGAAGCGTTTGACTCTAGCTGCTGGCGAGCGAGATGAAGCACGGATGTTTCACGTTCGGACGACGAATCCGAGTTGGCAGCTTGCAATAAATGCACAGTTTTCATGGCGATGGGCACTCCTTTGCCGCCAGGATTCCTGGGCACGCCGTCCCCTCCAATGTCGCAGCATCGCGCACACTTGCAAAGAAACATGCGAGTAGGCATCTAGTTGTTGATCTGATCTTTGAGAGATAAAGTCAAGGTAGAGAAGAATAAACTCACTATAAAAGCGTCAAGTAGCACGTCTGGATCCCCTGTTGTTAAGGGCGATGCCAAATTACAAGGAGCTTCTGTACGATATAAGGTGCCGAATCTACAGTATAAGTGTAAATTAATATTTCTGAGAACGCAGATGCTTGGGAAAGTCTTACATTTGAACGGACGAGGCCCCATGTTGTTATTACAACGAACCATCTAAGATACAGGGTGTAATTTAGAATTTCTGAGAATAACAGACGTACTTGGCACTTACATTCGAACGGACGGACGACTTGTATTTCATTCATTATCAGTACGAGCCTGACTTTTGTGCTAATTGTTGCTCATGATCATCATACATACTGACTACAGTGCGAGTATGACTACAGTTACAGGACTACAGGACTACAGCTAGTATAGGACAATCGAATCGGAAAAGAAGGCAGTCAGCAACCGAGACGCGTCTAAATACTGAATAACTTTGTAATGAAACTCCGCCTAAATTTGGCGCTCAGTGCCCGGCGTTGTCAGCGCTCAGCGCTCAGCGCCCCGATGGGTCATATTATTATGTACATGTAGTATAGTGAATTATATTATGATTTTGGTGCGACCTGCACATCCACACCTAATTCAACATCACCCGCAGCAAAGCTACGCATGATGTTGACAAGATCCTCGGCAGTAGTAGCTGAGTAACCTCGCAAAGTAAAACGCTTGGACTTTAGGAAAAGCTTGAAATCCATGCCGCAGATAAGCGCCTATGATCGCAATTAGTATTGAAAAATGCTGCAACAACAACACACACACCAAGGTATCACCTGCAGCACCGGAGACTAAACCATCCGAGTAGTCAATCACTAAGTGTTTGATGCTGACCATAGAATGAGCGCCCGATAAATACATCATTGCTCTACTGCTGGGATGACTTTTAGGCAAGGAAAGGACAAGATATCCGATGCTGTCGCAATAGCCAATACATTGTAAAATGGAGGCGATGTAGTCGGGCGATGCATCATGTGCTTGTAAGGAAATATGAAGGCAGGCGAAGATTTGTTGCGTACGATGACTCCGAAGGACTGGGGAGGAGATGTGACAGGGGTCCATCTAGCATAGATAGAGAAAGACTCAAACGAGTGGTGATTCGATTGGCCCTCCAAGGACTACCAGGTCGCGGGATGACACTGAGGTTAGTGATAGCAGGGTGACAGGCCAGAAAACGAACGAGCGTGGATGGCGCACAGTCCGCATTGACTCGGGAGTTCGACAAGGGTTGGAATCGCAAGATGGCGCAGGAGTTTATCCCAATGCGCAGAACTGAGCTTGACGGAACTCAGTCGAAGCTTTTCCAAACTGCAGGAAAGGCGGATGGTTTGAATTGTGAAAGGAAGGACGTTTGGGGAAAAGAATGCCTGCGAACATGTTTCAAAGGCTTTCAGGTTGTTCGCACCTACACACGGCTGAATTCGGGTGAGGCCGGTGACGGACGATGAGACTGTCCCGTCGCAAAAACCCATGCACGTCAGCTCTTCGACGCCGGAGGCACGGATGCTTTCTAGTAATGCAACAATTTGTGGGAGAACCGGGGATGTGAGAATGTCAAAATTCCAAAGAAGTGTGATATATCGTATCAATTTGTGGGGGACGGATTCGAGGAAGTGGGAAAATGCGGATAGCTGTGAGGATCGCAAACCAGAATCCAGCCAACTCAACACCATACGCGGCGGACGAAAAGTATCTGTTCGCCTCCAAGTAGCCAGAACGTCAAAATTCTGCGGGTCTACACGAATGTGGAATAAATCCTTTGGGGAGGTTGGGAAGTTTCTGTTGAGGAAGAAGAGTGGAGCAGCGATTTCTCTCAACAGAGAAGAAACTTGTGTGACAGTGCGCAGATCTTGCACTCCTAGAAGGGCGACGGTAGCGATGAGGATTTCCACAGGTAGGGACCAAATGAACCATCTTGGTCTTGCACGGTTTATGAGATGTTACACGTTGGAGGGCAAAGGGATCTAGTTGAGCCTCCGCTTTATGCTGTAAGAAAAGTCAGACTACAGTCTAAAATCAGCAAAGACAATTATGTATAGGAGTCATTCCATACCACTTCCCTGAACAAGTGATTCATTGTAGGGCTGATTAAATCAGTGTTGTGGCGAATTATCTTTGGCTATAGCTTCATTAACGCTAATACCGATTTTTGAAAAATAAACTTTACCGTAGCATCGGAATATAGCATAGCAACTTGACATATGTCGCCCGTGGAATAAGATTTGAGAAGACGTCGCTTTTGAGGGGTGACCAGGTCACCCGAGGTCGAATTTACGCTTCAAAGAAGGTCCCTTGCTTTCAAGTGCTAGAGAGTCGATGTCCTGTGGAGTAAGGAGTTAACTCGAGCTTGATTTACATATGAAAGACATCACCTTCGAAGGTCCTAGACTGCTGGGGAAGTCTATCTTTGACACGAAGTCCTGCGACTGCATCGAAAGACGTAAGTCACGAGAAATAGAGGTCAAATGTATGAGGCGCACATCACGCAAAACACTTTTGGGGCTGGAGAGGTAACTTGCCGAGTTTCCCATCGCAAAGGTGGGAGAAATGTATATGCAATTCAATGACCTTGGCAATGTCACTTGCTTTAAGTTGGGCGAAGCTATTGTGGTTGGGGATAGGGGACTTATTTTTTATTTGGTATACCTGGAGGATAAGCGGCACTCACGGAAGCGAGTATGTGTAGCGAGTATGTGTAGCTGGAGACAAGATACCAAATGCAGCCTTGGATGAAGTTGAGAGGATTTAAAGACTACAGTTGCAGGTTAGCTGAATCGCAATTCACTCATGCCGTGCCAATCACCTCGCAAGGCAACTGCTGCCCGTAACGTACGCTACAATCTGTACGTTTGGCCCTACACTTCAAGCAATGAAAGTATCCCACCCATCATCACACCTCTGACGAGAACCCTTGCCTTGTATTTCGACCAGGAGGTCCCGCGCGATGCTGTTGTAAGTACAGATGTCAAAACTGCGGTCAGGAATGACTGAACTGAACATTCGAGTGGATGGGATCCGCTATGTTGGTCGACGAACCCCATGCACTCGAACTCAATGGGACAACGGAAAATCCCCAATACGTTTCAATTCAGAACATTAATATTGATCTCGCAGAAAATGAGGTTAGTAAGACTGTTATGTAGCCCAGCTCAAACTGACCTTAAGGTTTTCAAAGAATAGAAACACATTATTGGCGGCGAACCATAAGGGGCGCATGTCTCCAAATAAAGAAAACTTGTTCGCAACCTAGAGAAAGTGGTAAACAAGTGTATTGATCATAATTGTGAAGGGAACCCTACTACTGACATTTTACGCGAGAGGATCTATGCAGCGATTGAGGGAGCAATATTAGGCGTAGAGGTGGATGAGATTATGCGCAGGCATGTCCCAAAAGCCGAGAACATCAGAACAAGCGACAAGACACACGTAAGATAGTCACCTGGTTTCGCAGTAATCTACTGATGAAATTCATTAGAAGCTTTCAACCAATAACGACAATTTAATCTCACCTGCAGCACAATACATCTTTAATGGGATGAGACGTCTGTTTTCCCTTGGGAAAATCCTCAGCGCACAATCAGAACCACACGGACCATCTTCATCCGGAACAGTTCCAGACCCCATTGGAAATAACCGTAGGTCGGATGCATCATTGCGTTCGGCTGCTGGAATGCCAGGACAGTATCATGCGCCAACTGCGTAAGAGTGTTGAACTATGAATCGAATGCATACTCGAATGTACATACTGTATACCATGCCAACCATGCCAACTGCAAAATCGTATTAGTACCAAAAATCAGAGATAATAACGACTTACACAACAACTATCAAGCCTCCCGTGTTCACAGTTGGTCTGCCCACATGGTTTTTGCTGCCATAATAGGCTCCCTAATGACCCGCAGTTAAGTAGCTGTCACTGGACAATTTATAACCAATCAGCAGTTCGTATGTACAATGTCCGGGCTACTCTGGGCTACGCTATCATACAAATAACACCTCGTTTATCAAAGTAAGGATTTACTGGTGGGCAACAATAATCTCCATCCTCTGGAACTTCTTCTTTGATACTGTGAATGATGAGTGTTGGTCAATCAACCAAGAAGCATCATAGAACGCTCTTGGTAGGCCTTCAATTGCTGTTCGAGAAGACTTTGATTTAGCGTTACGAAGACGCTTTGCAGGCTTGCTTCTGCGAGGAGTGAAGACTGCGGCACCCGTCAACGCTGTTGGTCAATGATCTGCATCTCGTGAGTGAAATCAGCTCTCCATGGCATACTCTTCCACCGAAAGACCTGAACGTCTCCATCTTCGTGCTCACTCTCGTCAGAGCTCATGCCATTTTTGCCAAGATTCTCCACAATACCCCGAAGATACTCCCACACTGCCTGATCATGCTTTCCCATCGCAATCCTATCACTCAGCAGCGTCGCTGTGACTTTTTTTCGAGTCTCAAACTTCTAGTGGATAGCTCAATATGCTTCCATACTCTGAAAAAAAGTAAACTCACCATCACCCTGCGAGTGAGGACCCTAGCGAGCCGCAGTCGCTCATTTGTTTGATCCACGAGTCAATCTCCCACTTGTTGCGCGGTCTCACGAGTACCGTCGCTAAGGCTGAGAGGTTGAGGCCCTTCTCCAACACTTGCAGCATTGACCGAATTTCAGTGTAATATCATCTCTGATAGATTGAGAAGACCGTATAGCCCATCCGTTTGCTAGTTGCATAGTTGCATACTGGGAACAAAGTAAATCAATGACATGTTGGTTCCACATGGAGTTGTGCGTGGTCGACATATCCCATTGCATTGCAAGTGGGTCAGGACCAGGGCCCGTTTCATGTGTGAAAGACAATATAGCTTCATGTGATGCTGACACATGAAGCATAAATTCTTCGTCTTTTGTGGCGTGGAATGCATTTTTTGAACAACTCTTGGACATTTGCCTGATGTTTGCGTGAGCAGAGGTATTTGCTTTAAGTAATTATGAACCTTATTGTCTTGGCGCTGGGTATCCGTGAAATTTTCAACAGGGGGTTTAAGGTGTTTGTGTCTTGGGCAAGGTCCCCGGGAAGACGTTGTTTGAGGAGTCTGAAGAACCTTCGCAAGCGCCTCAGCAAGCATGCCTATGGTCGCGTTCGTGATCGGGACGTCTCCTAGGAGTGAAGTTAGGGTGGGTCTACTGTCCGTCTGAGGTTCCTCGTCCGTGTCAGATTCAGAGCTGGAACCGGGAATCTATGATGCACGGTGTCAGCAAACAATGTGCATGTGAAGTCATCGGCTTACTGGTGAAAACCCAACAATATTGGTACATGTAGCCACAGGTTTTTTGCCAACAAGAGCCGCCAGGCAGGTGCGAATGCAGGTGACAAAGCACTGGCATGTCGAATTTGATTCTGTGAAATGGTAAGAAACTCTGGAACACCAGTGATTCGATATGTACATCCAACGAATTAATTTTGGAACTATACTTGGCGTCCAAGCGGGTTAATTCAGATTCATTGTCGGCCAAAAGCCTATCTCTTGCCAAACACATTTTGTGTTCAAACCGAGATTGTTTCTCGGCCAAGAAGCGTTTCTATTTCAGCGCGGGCCTCTGTTTGGGCCTTTTGACAATCAAGTACCATATTGTTCTGTCAATGCAAGTCAGAATATTTATATGACGGCAAAAGCATCCTACCTGAAGCTCTGCAACTTCTTTACAATGGTTCTCGTCCAAGGAGGCGAGGGCATTAGCACTGTCACGCTGAAGAGATTGATTCTGTTGTTGATGCTGTGCAATGGCTGACTGCATCTGTGATTCGCAGACGTTCGAAGTGACCTGAAGTGAGTTAAGTATGGGCGCAAGGGATGTGAGATTACATTTACCTGCGCATGGCGCTTTCGAAGTAAAAGATCATGGTTGCTAAAATTTAGTCTCGCGCACATCTTCACGCAACTTGGATGACCGATCGACTTCTTTGAGAAAGACCTTGTTGGGCTAAACATTTGTTAGCTATTTTATGGAGGCAAATTTGATGATCCCTACTGGCTGCTCGTCGTCATCTCTTGCCCTACGAGCAGACTGCCAAGGATTATCTAACTCCATTGCAGACTCCTCGTTAGAGGAAAGAGCCGGTTGCGGTGGGTATGTGTGCGTTATTGCTGAGGGACGACAGTCATTCGTGATCTATGCCAGCCAACATAGCATTTGCAGGCGGGTACGTATGTGTTGCGGCCAAACAAGGTCGTGGAGGGGGTGCGACTCCACAACTTCAGGAACCAGATCGTCTGAAGAGAACAGGGACATCAGACGGGACATCTTGACAGGTTATTTTGCAATCAGCAACTTTATCTTATCGGAAAGATGACTCACTCTTTGTGAGACCGAATGTGAATACGTCGACGATCTGGATCCTCAGACTTTAATCACATTCAAGCCGAACAAAACCCTGGTATCATGATAACATGCTTTATCAACAACGGCATTCTGACCGCTTCTGGCACAAAAGTATTGACTACGGCTTCCCAACTCCTTCTGGAATAAGGCAAGTATTATTATTTACGAGAATTGTTTTGTCATGCCTTCGCGGAAGTGTTTTTCAGTTGCATCTGAATTATGTCTCCTACTGGCCAACACCCATGATAGTCAGCCAATTCCGGAAATTGGGTCAGAGCCTAGAAAATAAGTTAATATCAAGCTGCTATAGTAACTGTACAAATACCTCTTTGTGAACCTCATGCAACGCAGCGGGGGTTTGAAGTTTCTTGCTCGTGTCAACGTCACAGTACTTCTTGATTGACCGGTGAACGCACTCCTAATTTCAAGTGAGGACGAAGGAAGATATAAACCACTACAGTCTCACCTTGAGAGACTTGAAGCGGTTAACATCCCAGTTGAGCGCCTTCTCCAAGTTGTACCCACCACGACCAGGACGCCCCACCTCACCCTCCGGTTTGAGGATTTTGGAGTCCTTGGAACTTAGAGAGGATAAGGAGGAATATATCGACACCTTCTCAGACTCGCCATTCTCTGTCGTGAAAGATACTGATTTAACAACTTTGGGGGTAGGCGCGCGAGAAGGGACGGGTAACGTTCCACGAGATGTGGTCATGAAGATGTGGGAAGGAGTAAAGGTGCTTCCCCTGAGTGGAAGAGTAGAGAACGCCATCTCTTCCTGTTGGGAAATCAAGACGTGCGATAACGTAGCACAAAACATCTTCGTGTGATATGTCAATAACGGAAGGGCCTGGGGAGGACCTTCAGATTCATAAAAAGGAATGACGGGAGAGGAGAATTGAAGCATGACTGACTTTGGAACTGACCAGAGCTGCAAGAAGATATTTGATGTCAAATAATGGATGACAGCAATGGCAATTTGGGTCTAGATCGGAAACCCAGGGTTGCCAAGTGGATGGCGTTTGTTGTGATATCCCTATATTAACCACAAGGTCTTAACGTTTACATCTAGCAATGCTTTTCCTTTCGAACTGATTGCAAAGAATATTGCCTGGAAGGGCAGCCTCAGTTGGACACAAGAACGCAATTAATTGCCTAGCAGTCTCTCACAATGGAAATACGTTAGCAAGCGGGGGTATGTTGAATATTCAGATTGACATTCTACATACTCACCCAAGTACCAGGCTCAGACGGCATGAGGATCTGGGACCTCAAACGACGAGTAGCAGCTCCCAACTCCACGTCAAACACCAGCCATCCAAAATCCGGCCGATCCGGTGACTTGCGCGTGCTGGATAACACGCCAAGAAGCAACGCGCGAAACACTATGCTATGGCACAGGACTGGGCTTTATATGCATTTGGCAACAGCAAGGACAAGGCTTAGAAGACTTCAATGCAAAAGTGTCAAGGCGAATTGGAACGGGTAAAGAGATCATGTGTCTCACCTATGACCATACTGGCGACGACACTCGTATTGCAAGTGGAACACGCGACAAACGAGTTCAAGTATGGACATACGACTTCAAAGGACCATTGGTACCAGTCTTCAGCATTGAGCTCTCCACCACCATTCCGCGTAGTGTCAACTTCAATCGAACAGCAAGTAGAAACTTGCTTGTATTCGGAATGTATGACGGCGAGATGTAGGTGCACGTCCATACATTATCAGTACATGTCCAATGTTATTTCAGACATACGCTTCGGGGCTCAGACGGCGTTGTCATCGCTACAAACAAGGCTGGACCGATGATGTGAGTGATATCATCAGGCAAGTCAAAATTACTTACTGATCTACCCAAGCGGGCACGCTGTTGTGGATGCCCCTCAAACACTGTTCCTAATCGACAACGTGATGAACGGATTTAGCTTGCATCGATTAGAAGATGGAGCATGCATCCGTACCTACAATACCAACCCAACCAAGACATTCCCGAAGCAGGTCGTTTTTGGTGAACAGGCTACCCTAATCGTTGGAGGCAGTGACGCAGGAACTATTCATATTTTTGACAAGAATGAAGGTACCCTTAGGCAAGTATTGCAACATGCAGACAGGGGGCGAGCGCAAACTGTAACGGTGAGGCATTTTCATCAACTAATGGAATGTGAGTCTGACAGATACAAGACGTATGACAGCGTGCACCATAGCCTGATTTTTGGAGCAACATCTACCAATGACGCAGAACCGACCATCTCCATCTGGTGTCGCAACGTGCGACATTGCCAAGCAACCGTCCACTGGGGTCAGCGATCAAGAATTTCATGCGGGGAGTACTCCAGCTGGCTATCGCAATGGTGATAATAGCATATGTCATTAATATAGTACGTCATAATATGGGATGCGAAGCACTCACTAATCAGAATGCAGTGGATTGGTCAAACATCGGGGATCACATTGCTGGGAAATGTCTGGCGGGAGTATTCAAAGTTGGGGGCTCGAACGAGTGACTTGACGAATGCTGACATCCGTTCCTTGGTAGAACAATATATTGAGGTGCAGAGAAGTGAAGAACTGGAGCGATCGCGAAGCTCAGGAATGAATCACAGGCATGGTGGACGAGCAAAGCTGCAAGAAGAGCGACATGCAGTCATTCTGCTCGGCAATTAACGTTAGATACTATTTAAATCTCAAGTGCATGCTTACCTGTCCAAATTTTGGGCGGAAAGCAGGCGTCCAACACAGACAGCGCTGCGAAGAAGAGCGACATGCGGTCATTCTCTGACCGGCAATTAACATTAGATACCATTTAAATATATCAAGTGCATGCTTACCTGTCAAAATTTTGGGCGGAAAGCAGGGCGTCCAACATAGACGCGCTGCAAGAAGAGCGACATGCGGTCATTCTGACTGGCAATTAACGTCCAGACTTTGAGCGGCGGAATGCAAGTGTCCATCACAGACACGCTACAGCTGCATACATTGATGCGAAATTAATGCACTACTCTACAATACATTGCGATACAAACTCTACACTATCTACACTACGAACATAGCGAAGCTTGGCATGGAAGTCGGAAAGAAAGCCAGTTCACTGAATGAACGCCTGCTATATAGTGAACGCCTTGCTACATAATTACATAATCAAACTCCGCCAGAAATTCGAGTGGCCATTTTGCGCCCACTGCCAGACCGGCATCGCCCGCTGAGTTTCAATCTATAGTCATTCTGTATATCATGGCTTCTGTCTACCTTAAGTGGTTTTCTTTTCCGATTCCCATACATTGATAGTGATAGTACTTGTGCAGAATATTATTATAGTAGTAGTGGACCTAACAATACTTAGAACAAAAAAACGCTATGGTCCACCTCCCGCATAATAGACAATTCGCTGTGTCCACTGTGGCCGCTGTGGTCCACACTGCAGTCGTTCACTATAAATACTGGTCTCGCGCCTTCATGGTTTTCTTTCCGCTACAACTACCTCGATACGAACAGTATTACTAGTCTTTACGTAGACTTAGCTATTGAATCTATCAAATCTAGTATGTGATGTTCCAATTCGCGTTATCATAATGCTGAACCTATTCTATAGACTACAGAAACCATGGCCAAACGTGCCGCATCCAATGATGGTGCACCTACCTCGAAGCATATCAGAATTGATGACGGTGAGTAGCAACACGATATCGCCCTATAGATTTATTCATGAGCGAATCATAGGGAATCAGACAATACCGACAACACCACTAGCGGATAAGCATGCATGGGCGATTTTAGAGCAATTCCTTACCACGGACATGACGTATCCTCAGATGGAAGACGCTCTACTATCGTACCTCGGCGATCAATATTCCGCAGATGATTGGAAGGAATCCCGAGACGCGTTATTTTCGGGTGACGGTGATGACGAGCTTGCCTTGGCAAACCTACGTGCTGTTAAGGCAAAGCACATACATCCAGCCTTATCCGCTCCCAAGGATTCTTCCATGGCCGACAGGCGATCGACCAGTGCGCGCATTCAAAGTTCACGTAGACGAGCCAAAGTAAGCGAAAGTATTTGATTATATTATTTTCACATGCTAAACAGCCACTGTATCAGTCGAAAAATCCCTACCTCGATCTGGCTGCTGCAGACGACGACGGAGGAGGAGGAGGAGGAGGAGGAGGAGGAGGAGGAGGAGGAGGAGGAGGAAGAGAACCACAACAAACCCTCGGAGCCCTGGAAGGTTACCTCCTTGCCAGGACTATCATCAGGCCGCCAGGTTTACTGCAGCTATCAACGAAATCACGAATCGATTCGAAGGCACACAACCTAGCCCATCACAAGATCGTCAGACTATTCCCACCTCGATATCTGGCCTCATCCCTTTAGCTGGATTGCAGGACGGGAGGATGTATCTTCTCCATGTCCAACGTAAGTCTTTCTATCGATGTCATATCATTCGTAACTCATCAATTACAGGAAATGTCACAGATTATATCGCTGCACACCTTCGGAGGAAAAAATTTGCCGTCAAGGTGTCAGCTTGGATAGCTGGCCAGCTGTATGTGGTGGCAGGACAGCCCCAAAACCATCGCAGATTCGCTTCCTTTCTCGCTCTACCTCGCCGTGAAACAATATCTCGTCATAACGGATGAGGAACGTGAAATGGTCGAGCGTTCTTGCAGCAAGCTTCCCATTCCAGCTTGGGTGAGGATCAAGCATGGCAAGTATAAGGGCGACATAGCCCAAGTCTTCGATTCTGATTTGCCGAATGATTTGGTTGCGGTCTTGGTTCCCCTACGAGATTTCCCATACCCCATGTCCCGAGGATCTCGGTGTCTACTCGACCGATCCCGCCTTCCGAACGGGGACGCGGTCTCCAACATCTATCGCGATGACGAAGTTATAGGCTGCAAGTACAAAGGAGAGAGATACTACATGGGCCTCCTACTTCACAACTTCCACCGCGATCGCCTAGAACGTGTCGTCTGCCCTCACGTTAACGACATTGAACTCCATTTGCGATCCGGATGGGACAAGTCATTCCTCAAGAGCACTGTTGTTGCGTTTTCGATGCAGTTCTTGCACGCAGGCGATTGGGCCAAGATCGTCAAAGGAGATCTTAGTTCAGAAGTCGGGATGGTCACCTCAACCGACCATACTGTCGGTTCTGCCACCTTGGATTTGAGCTTGAGTGGACACCGAAAGGAAGTAGAATGTCGATTGCAGGACATAGAACGCATGTTTCGGATCGGCGACACGGTTTCGAGTTGTAGCAGGTCCATACTTCGGTGTGGAGGGGCACATTATTGAAATGGTAGATGATATATTTCGTCTTTGTCAAGATGTCTCAAAGGAAGAGGTGAGGGTCTATTTCAATTCAGATTTGGCGAAATCATCTAATATAATGCATCATGGCAGGTGGAAGTTTCAAAGTACTATCTGGACCAGCGCCCTCTGACTCACACGCGGCAAGAACGACCACCAACGCAGCAACTTTTTACACCTCCCGCTGATGTTGAATCGATTCAAATAGGGGATTGTGTAGAAGTACTTGTGGGGGAGCATATAGGCAAGTGTGGCATCGTGCGTTGGCTGCCCAAGGGAGGAGGAACTCTGTGGTTCCAGGACGGAACATTGTACATTCCGGTTCCCATTGCAGTAGTTCGGCGGACACACCTCCCACACCTTCAGACATTACAGTTCACGAAAGACAAGGGCTATGATGTCAAACCTGGAGACATTGTAAGAGTCGCCCGTGGGCCAGAATATCAGACGAAAGGGATCGTGCGAAGCGTCGACTTTCCGAATGCTCGTTGACCCTACTCTCTGACATCGATCATTCACTCGTCAGTAATATCTTCCTCAACCTATGTATATCTATGAATAACTGACTTCTGGCAGGTTGATGTTCCCATCTCTTTCGCGATGAAAATACACAACGCCAGCCTGGATTCCTTCAAACAGGACATCGGCCAAGAAGTATTCATCATTGGGGGTGACCGTAAGGGTTACCGAGCTACGCTCTACAGCCTCGCCAGTAGAGAAATGTACACTTGCTGTGCATGGGCAGCAACGCACTACAATCCCACTCCAGAATGTTGCCACAAGGTAAGCAGCACGCGTATTTTCACAGCGGACTAATTGCTCATATGTGTGTTTAGGTACGGAAGGAGACTAAACGGTACGATGCTCGAAGGAATAGACATGTTGTCTTTCTGTGAGATGCGGAGAAAATCGTACCTAGCCCCACAACCTCGAAGCGTCACCCCCCCACCTGAGAAGGCTCACTCTAGCTCATCGGTTGCAATTGCAGCTCCTGGCACGTCCTCATCCGCCTGGACCAACTGGACCACCAGCCCCGATGATCAGGCTAGCAGTCCTTTGCCCAGCATTAATCCCAGCACTTTGACTGCCGATCCGAATCCCTGGACTGTCGATACTGGCGACACACTAGATAACATTGATTCTCGATCGGAGAAACTCGAAGAGGGTGAGTCCACCCGGGGAGCCATCCATAACATTTTGCTTATTTTATCGTAGGCCCGCTAGCTTGGCTAATGAAAAAGGAATTTTCCTCCAAGCTCACCACGTATCACGTGATGTTAAAAGTCTCGCCCTCCTTTATGAGAGGCAGGCTACACAATCGATTTGTGTCAACCGCTTGCCCTGATCCCTTCCTCGGTCTGAATGGACCCGCCCCCGAGGGCTGTGTTGCAGTGTTCTGTTCATCGAACGGTGCAGGCGCCGCCATTCAGCACTATCACATACCGATCACAGATCTAAGCCGAGCTCCTCCTCGCAAAAAAAATCAAGAGTGTATTGTTCTAGATGGGAGTCATCGCGGTTCCATCTCTACTATAGCTAAGTGCAACCTTAAGAAGAACACCGTGGATATTGCAGTTACTCCTTCTACCTTGGTAACTTTACGTTTTGATCAGATCTGTCTTGTGGAGAAGTCACGCGCTACTATGTGATACCATTATACCATTACCACTACCTTGCCGTTCAATACCATTACCATTACGAAAGCACCCTGCGCGACGAATACCTGATGACTGCTCACCGAGCGCCCACCGAGCGCCCAATGAATGCGCACTAAGATTCCCCATTGCTTAAATTTCGCATTTTCTCAAACTCATTTGAACGTAAGGTAAATTTAAAATTTTCCGGCGTGGCAACACGTCCGTTATTATATAATATTGTGTGGAACATTTTTCTGCAGCTCAAAATTTCGCATTTATCTTTGGACGAACAAGTTAACATTTAAACCAATATTTTTCGAAAAGTGAAAATTTTCGAGTTTTTCATGCATTTAAATAGTTCAAAATTGGTATCAAAATGTGTTATTTGTGCTTTGTCATTCGAAATTTGCCATTAATCCAGTGATAAAATTCAATGTACGAATGACTAATTTGTCATTCTCATTTCAATCAAAATCTTGCCTAAGGGAAAACTCTGAAACCGCCGGTGTGTGAGAAGGGCATAAATGGGTTTCAAAGTTTGGCGCATATGCCGCAAACAACGCCGGAATAATCGATGAATGCAAATAATTTAAACTCCGACGGCACTGTGTGCCGGCCGTGATCACTAACGTCGTCATCGCTGTCCATCGCAGGCATCTCTGACCTCTATGGCCACACAAGGCACCATCCGTGGACATCGAGCTAGTAGCTCCAGTAGAGCTCGAGGTGGGGGCAGTCGTGGATTGGCTCCTACTTCCTCCCAACCCTCCAAAGCACAACCACCTACCAAGATCCCAGCAATCCAGCGGGAGAAACAGCACTCCTCACGCACTGCTCGCCTGATTGAGTGGTGCAAGGCCAATGATGAAGGTCAGATCAAGCTTTTCTCCAATTCAGCAAAAGATGCAAAGGATGAGGGATGACCACGACAGCAGATGTCCACCCAGAAAAAGAACTACATCCAGCAGCTGGCTACTGCAATTTTTGCCGATGATGAAGACCCACAAATTTGTGCATTATATCAAGAGCACCCTCTCAGCTTTATCAAACCTGTTCAAAGTCGGTTTACCTTGTATGTTTGCTATGATTTTGTTCATCTCTACTGGTGGCGTGATTGATTAGATATGTTAGGCTTCAAAAAAAAAACAATACCTTCAACAAGGAGCTTGGTCAAATGGGGGCTGGACTCAAGTCTATTGAGGAGCTGAATGCAGATCCTTGCACTAAAACTCTTGTTGGTACGAACATGCTTTTCTTTTTTTGTTTGTTATATTCTGAGATTGAGCACCAGCTCAACTTCTTCAGCAATTCCCGTGGTGGTCTGACCTCCACAGATGGTGGAGGACAAACCCAGCATATAATACAGTGTTCTTGACTGCAGATCCTGGTCAAGACTTTGCCAATGAGGCACTTGATTTTTTTACAGAGACCCCCAAGTCTGGGCTGCAGGCTGCTGATGAGATGGATCTAGGCATTAGCACGGGTACGGGTAACCCGCGGCAGGTCACGGGTACGGGTACTGGTGGGTACGGGTGCAGGTTGGGATTTTGAGACCCGTGACCCGTGTACCCGTCACTTCCATATATGGTCGTCTGCTGCGGCAACTGCTGTGGCCTGCGGTTCAGTCCTCATCATTAAATAACCTTGCAGCTCAACTCTCCACCTGCTTTCACCATCGAGGCAACAACGAAGAGGAGCAGCGACATTCTGATGAAAACAACGCCGCAGTTCTTTGCCCTGTGACTACTGTGAGTGATCAATGCAATCTAGCATTCTGATCCTGAGAGCTTGTAACGTGTAGCTTACATCACGCGATATGGATGCATTAGTACTAAAGACGGATGCCAGACATCGTCTTCTCACGCGATACCGCAGGACGCGGAACAGTAAGGATATTGACCAATCCATAAACCACTTTGAACGCGCCTCGGATCTCTGCCCCATGGACCATCCCTACCGCCCTGCAGCACTGCTCAATCTAGCTACTGCAAAGTTTTTCAGTTGCCAAGCTGGCGGAAGACACCTCGACCTCGACATCCCTATCAATCTGTTTCAAGATGCCCTTGATTTGCGTCCCACTGATCATCCGGACCGAACCATCACCCAGCTCCATCTTGCCATTGCTCTGCAATCTCGCTTCGCAAAACGGGGATTTCAAACGGATGCTGATGCAGCTAGAGAGTTAGTGAGTAAAGTCCTTGATGTCTGCCACGCCAACAGTCACATCTACAGAGCAGCTTTGATTGCAATTGACACAACCGCTCTATATTCTACTAAAAGCATTAATACAAATGATCTTGGGCAGGAGCGGCCCACCGCACCCATGTTTCCGTTATTGTCGAATCAACTTGCTCATCGAGTAGAGAGGTGTTTGCAGAAAGATGATCCCCATGCCTTAGATGAAGTGATATCCCTTCATTATGATGCACTGGGATACTACAACGCTGGGTATGCTTCATGAGGGCAATTGCTGGGCAATCTGGGTGTAATGCTGCACACTCGCTTCGATTGTCGAGGCAATGAGGAAGACTTGAACCAGGCTATAGCACTTCAGATGGAATGGCTGGCTTTGCACCCAGTCGGTCACAAAGATCGGTCCAAGTCATTAAATAATCTTGCCGCTCAACTCTCCTCCCGCTTTAAGCACCGAGGCAATGACGAAGACTTGGATCAGGCTATCGCACTTCACAGGGAAGCGCTGGCTTTGCACCCAGTCAGTCACACAGATCGGTCCTCATCATTAAATAACCTCGCTATTCGACTCTCCTCCCACTTTGAGCATCGAGGCAATGGCGAAGACTTGGATCAGGCTATCGCACTTCACAGGGAAGCGCTGGCTTTGCACCCAGTCGGTCACGCAGATCGGTCCATGTCATTAACTAACCTTGCAACTCAACCCTCCGCCCGCTTTTGCCACCAAGGCAACAATGAAGAGGCTATTGCACTTCACACGGAAGCGCTGGCTTTGCGCCTGGTCGGTCATACAGATCAGCCATCGTCACTCGCGACTTGACTCTCCACCCGCTTTCACCACTGAAGCAACGACGAAGGCTTAGATTTAGATACTATTATTAATATGTAGTTACTACTTGTTTTCTAGCATAGTTGGAATTCATACCCATGGGTTTACTGCCATACCCACGCAACCCGTCGATACCCGTATGAAGACCCGTACCCGTTGGTACCCTTGGGTACACGGGTACGGGTATATGGCGGGTATGGGTGCGGGTAGGGCTCTGGACACCCGTGGGTTTACCCGTGCTAATCCCTAGATGGATCTCGATGATGAGGAGCTCAAGCCAGGAGAAATTTTTAATCAGCCACTTGGCCAGTCGGAATATTCTCCAGTGGCTGCTGGAACTTCTCATTCACTTATCGACAGTGATGATGACCTCTACAACGACCTCAGCTCTTCCAACAAACCCTCATTTTTGCAGCATCGTGACCCTTCTTCCATCCCCTCTTCATTGCCACAAATTTCAGGCACTGATTCTCCAAGTTCGATGACATCACCACTGCTCCCTTTAAATCCTCCCCTCGACTACCACACATGTTCAACTCCAGGTCCTGCAGCTCCCCCAAGCAACATCAATCAGCCTCCGGATATCTCACTTGACTCTCCACCGAGAAATTCTGCACTGGCTCGTTTATGCACATTTATCGCACGGGAGTCTCCACCACAAGATGTCGATGACAATAATGGCTTTGGTCACATGGACCTTCAGCCAGAGTCATCTGGTAGTGAGAGCATCAAGGGTGTGATGAAATCCTTGACAGTGCACTCTCATAAAGCGAGTGGTAGTGCTCTGTGTGGTCGAAGCCCAGCCACCTCTACTCACCGCAGTGTGGGCCCATCACCATCTGGTTCTCGTTCAACATCAGAGTCTCATAAGCAGCTGCATAATATTGGGGCAGATGTTACAAAGAAGTTGGCTGATGCCTCTGACTCCCTCCTACTCCATGTGCAGAATAAATCGGATGTCAAAGCCTCGAGCAAGCAGATGAAGTTCGAATATGCTAGGTTTTCCAAGGAGTTGAAGGCTTGCGAGGCTCATGCTGAGCGTAAACATGACTCACATCAGGTCATGGCTAATCTCAATCATGAACGTGCCATATCCGAAGACAAGACAAGGCAACTTGAGTTGGAAATCTGACTTGAAGAAGCTAAATATCGTCATCTTGCAATGGAGTGTGGCTTGGGTTTAGGTGATGGGGCTAATTGATATCATGCTTGCTTTTGTGTGTCTGTCGCCGTCTGTTTACATTCAAGTTCGTGCTTATATTTGTCTTCAGTGCTTGTTGTTTTTGCTAATCATGCTCTCGATACTCATCACGTTGCTGTACTACTACTACATGTCATCTTTCAGACTTGTTCTTAATGTATACTGCACCTAAACTCTGCGGCTACGAAGCAAACGACCCATCAATGTGTTCTGCAAAATTTGTCCATCTGTTCCGATAAATCCTTCATCACCATTGCCATCCTCGTCCTCATCATCTACATCTCTGGCCCCTCGCACCTGTGATTGTTTCCGAAAGTGATGATTAGAGCTTTTCTTTCCCATATTCTCCTCAATATCGATAATGAAATTGTGAAGAATGAGGCAACAGCGAGTCCACATATTCGCATAGCTGAGGTCTTTCTGCGACTGTATCTGGATTCTTAGGTCGCGCAGGGACTGGAACCGTCATTCAAGAGACCCATAGCAGTGTTCGGATCGAACTTGGACCTTCAATTGTGGTATGAGTGCATATACCCGTCTCAAAATACTCAATGGCCTACTTTCAATAGGTGTGTATTGAATTTTTTTTGATCATGCCTCAGACCACCAGCCACTGGATGCTTGAAAGGAACAACACACCACATTCGCGATGCATATGCTGAATCTGCCCAGATCCACTCATTTGCTCCCAGACAGTTCTCGGGGTGTCGTGCAATTCGTGTCTTCAAGAACACATTAGCGTCGTGCAGACTTCCTGGGACCCCCAATCACGTAGTCGACAATATGGAGGTTGTGGGGCATGATCACAATCTAAATTAACAGTCAGGATGAATTTTTAATTTATTCTAGATGACTTACCTGCGCGGACAGGGAGTAATTTGATTTTCGGTCAAAAAAACCTTCTCCATGCCATCCCGGTTTGTGGTACACATTGAAAGGTGTGCCATCAACACACAAAAATCCACCATGCCACTCCCGACATGTACGTTCCTCAACCCAGTCTTTCGCTCGATCTATCTCAATCTGGTCTTTAGCCTCCAGTGGGTCAAAGTGGATGACATTGTCATGGTGCTGCAAAATTGCAACCATAACACGCCGATAGCAGTTGTATATTGTTCCAACCGAAACCCCTGCCCAATCAGCCATGTCTTCCGCAGTTGCTGCATTTCCGTAGTGGCCAGCGGCATTCAAAAATATTCCCAGCTGAATGGGAACAGGTAGTAGAAGATTGTTAGAATTGTTGTAAAAAATTGGATGATGGATGATTTTATTGATGAGTTCTACGAACACATCAGGATCGACTCGGAGCTTGCGACGGAACCTCCGAGGATTTTCCAATGTCCACTCTTTGAGTAGATGGAGCTGCGGTGCGTGGGTGGCTGTAGGACGTGAAATGAGCATACATGCTTTAGTGACTTCATCTTGAAGTGCTTGGATGGTATTACTAAAGTCGAGAAAGACTTGGCTACTGAACATGGGTCCAGAGGCTTCTGTAGAATCTGGATTGGAGGATACCGGCATGTCATTCCAGACAGAGTCAAGCGACATCCAGGTATCAAAAGAGCTTATGGAATCCATGTTGATATTTGATGATAGATCAGAATCAATAGAGCCAGAGTCCAAGTCCAAGTCCGACTCATCTGAGCTAGACTTGTTGGATGACTCAGAGTCAGATGAGTCGTCATCCATTAACATGTTTACTAGCTCGAGGTACCGAGCAAGTTGAAGAGTCTTGTTTGTTTCTCGGAGGGCCTCTAGTACCTTTTTATGCTCTGAAATGTGCATCAGGAGGGACGGTGGAGAATAGTAGCTTATCAATTATCTCTTCCGTGATACTGGATACTTTCCATGATAGGATTGATTAGTAACATGAATGTTTTACGCGGAGCTTGAATATCAATATATATTCTTGTTTTTGTGGAGTTCAAACACATGCACACTGTGTACTTTGAAACCCATTATATACTATTAGATAAAGGCCGAGCTCCGCCGGCAGCAACCTTGTCCCACAAGTAACATGTACACCACTGACCGCCAAAAACCTATTGTAGAGCCCTAAAATGGTCAAGGTGTAGACTAGCCCTGAGAAATATCCATAATATGGGTTTCGCACTATCTCTGTGAAAGGTTTTGCTCAGAGCTGTGTGAGAGCTGGGAAACAGACCTATACTCACATACTTCAGTCATTATTTCATGTAGAACCCTGGCTCCTGATGTGCAAAAGGCCCTAGAATCATGGCTGGCCTGTCACTGGCCAGAGCTTTTGTCTACAGCATGTAGAATCATGGCTGGCCAGTGTAGATATACAAATACTAGGATTTTAATAATTAAAGCAATAGCAGTTAGTGTTATGCCTATAGCATGTAGAATCATGGCTGGCCGGTGTGGATATCTAAATATTAGGATTATGATGATAAAAAATAGCGATAGCTAGCCTTATGCCTACAATATGTAGAATCATGGCTGGCCAGTCCTTAGTTCATAAATTGCATACTGGCCAGCTGACACCTATGACATGTAGAATCATGGCTGGCCGGTCATTGAGTCATAAATTGCATACTGGCCAGCTTACACCTACAACGTGTAGAATCATGGCTGGCCGGTCATTGAGTCATAAATTGCATACTGGCCAGCTTACACCTACAATGTGTAGAATCATGGCTGGCTGGTTGTTGAGTCATAAATTGCATACTGGCCAGCTTACACCTACAGTGTGTAGAATCATGGCTAGCTGGTCATTGAGTTACAAATTGCATGCTGGCCAGCCTACACCTACAACAGAGGGAATCAAACATGTCGATTCTCGCAACCAATTCTGAGTCCGATTTTCAGCTCGATTCTTTGACCTGAATCGACGTCAACTTTGAACACCCCCGATTCTACTCGCAACTTCGCCTCTGAATCATGCATGATTCTCGCTCATAGCACCTGCTTTGTCAGTGATCTCAGTTAGCATCTGAAAAGTAAGTTCTTCAGTCCATCTGTAGTTGGGCATTGTCGGATACTAATAGTAACAGAACAATAGGTCATGCACTATGATCTTCCCGACCCTTTGATCCTCTCTTGCCTGTTTTGGTGGGCTGCTTCTTAGCTTTCACATCAGCAGGCTTAGACTTTGCAAGTGCATTTTTGGTTGTTGCTTTCACTATGGTACAGCTAGCGGGTTATAACAGCAGTAGGCCCTTTGAGTCATAGTGTAGGGGACAGTGTATTTCTTTGTGATATGTTTTGAATGGATATTTCGCAATTTTAATTCACATGGAAATTACAAAATTGGACATGGCAACACGATGTTGATGAATCGATGATGAAACAAATTGTTGAAGTGGCTCCAGAGCCGCTTCAATGATTCTTGTCGATTCTCGATTCTACCCGATTCTGTCATCTAAAAATCGACAACAGAATCGACAACAGAATCGGTGTGAGAATCAACATGTTTGATTCCCTCTAATGTGTAGAATCATGGCTGGCCTATGGGTGATTATCTACTTGCTTTATGTCACATTTTCGCTATTTTGAACACATCTTTATTTGACCCCCTCAAGCGCCCCACATCAATTGGTACAGTGTATGTATGGGAAAACATAATTTATTTCGACATGTTTGATTCCCTCTATTGTAGGTGTAGGCTGGCCAGCATGCAATTTGTAACTCAATGACCAGCTAGCCATGATTCTACACACTGTAGGTGTAAGCTGGCCAGTATGCAATTTATGACTCAACAACCAGCCAGCCATGATTCTACACATTGTAGGTGTAAGCTGGCCAGTATGCAATTTATGACTCAATGACCGGCCAGCCATGATTCTACACGTTGTAGGTGTAAGCTGGCCAGTATGCAATTTATGACTCAATGACCGGCCAGCCATGATTCTACATGTCATAGGTGTCAGCTGGCCAGTATGCAATTTATGAACTAAGGACTGGCCAGCCATGATTCTACATATTGTAGGCATAAGGCTAGCTATCGCTATTTTTGATCATCATAATCCTAATATTTAGATATCCACACCGGCCAGCCATGATTCTACATGCTATAGGCATAACACTAACTGCTATTGCTTTAATTATTAAAATCCTAGTATTTGTATATCTACACTGGCCAGCCATGATTCTACATGCTGTAGACAAAAGCTCCGGCCAGTGACAGGCCAGCCATGATTCTAGGGCCTTTTTGCACATCAGGAGCCAGGGTTCTACATGAAATAATGACTGAAGGGTCTGACGCAAGGGCTTTTCTCCACTTGGGACAAGCCCTCATGATCTTGTGTATGTTCAATTGAACAGCTGCAGCTGTTCTTTTGGGCCATGCCTGTGTGTCTGCGGGCATTGTGCCGAGAACACTACTAGGACCAGCCGACATAGTATTGGCAGTAGATTCCTTCCAGAACATGGCAATCGACGAGTCAGCCACGGAACGACCTTGCCCGAAAATGTCCAATAGGGTCACAATGTCATTGTCATCATCAGCATTCGGAAAGTAAACCTTGGGAACAGAGGAGTAGAAACCCGCAGGGAACTCCACATGGTGAATTATTGTGTGCGCCTCGTGCTTGCATGCAATGCTGTCCTACAGAATTGTAGCATGCAATATTTGTACCATTTTACTAAGGTGGACTTACATGACAATACACTCTGTGCATGACCTCATTGATGCCAGTCTTGCCTCGTACCCATGGCAGATTCAAAGGCAGACTGGCATCTTGACGTTCCTACACATCTGATCAGTAGAGGGGATGGCCCAATCAAGAGTGAACATACAGCAAGCACAAAACAGGGACTTCAGTACTTGGAGATGTTTCACAAACTGGAAAGTGTTCAATGGGCATCACCATGTAAGCAACGAGAGAAAGATGATTCTTGAGCTGGGAGGATGTCAATATATACTACCTATGAAATTAAACACCCACAGTTTCGTGACTGGCAGGCGGGCTCTGCACTCATATTAAGATATGTAGAATAGATTAGAAAGGCGTAGAAGTACTCACATAAAGAGGATACAACATAGGCTGAGGGTCAAGGGAGAGATATCCCATGATGTCGATGGTGAAAGTGGGCAAACCCTGCCAGGAGACACATTTAACATTTTGTGTGATTTGCACAATGAAGAAACAACAACTTACAGACAACATGGTCAAGCCAGCAAACTCAGGGTCATAAACATATGACTTGTGCTGGAATCCTGAGCTGGATCTTTATGTCATCCAACAGCAATAGACATGATATACTAGTGGCCGAGTAAAACATGAGCGATATAGGCCATATTTAAAGAGGAATACATACCTTGATGGCCGCAGTTAGTCATTAGAACATGGGCATATTTAATTACATTGAAAGTTCAACATGAGGCATTCAGTCAGAGCACCATCGATGGAAGACTATGTACATATCTATAATACATCCAAACTAGGCCGCCAATTCAGCGCCATCAAGAGACATCAGACGGTATTCAGGAACAATTGAATTGTAGTCAGTTTATGTACATAATATTTTGGAGGTTCTTCAAATCTGTTCCCCATGAACGGTGTTTTTAACATGAGGCTTAGTGAGATGCCCATGTGCTGTCTTGATAACCAAGGGTCTTATATAAATACGTGTAAGAATGTAATGACACCAGATAAGACTTCTTGCCAGTCCTCGATTAACATGGTCTACGACTTTTCTTCTTTCATGGTAGATAACATGTGAGTTCTTGGGAGGCTTGCTAAACCAATCAATTAGATTAACTTAGCCGGAGCTTTATTATCTCTGATTGAAACTATGAGATTGTCTAGGATATACTGTCTAGACACTTGAACTGGTTTCCTGAATATACGATAAACTGTCGAGAAGCTGGTCTCAAATGTGACTACAGTGACCAAAGCTCGTGTTGGTCAATATACAAATACCTGGTGAGAACACTGGTCTCACAAATAACAACAATGACCAAAGCTCGTGTTGGTCAGTAAACACTACGTGGTGAGAACACTGGTCTCACAAAACTGGGTTTCTATCGCGAGAAACTTACATAATCTCAAGGGAAATACTGTCCCTGCACTTGTCTGGACAGTACTTAGAAAGGAAATGTGCTTTCTAAGCAGCAATCTGTTCAGTCTGAAGCTTCTTAGGTGAGAGTTCAATTGGTTCAAGTGGGAGATCCTATTTTTTGGGGGGGGAGAATGGGCTCTCCTTATATACATTTTGTGTGGGAATATTATGTAAGTAAAAAGGTGATGTAATGACTTCAGAATGTTCTAGCAGGTGCAAAAGAACATTCCAGAATATTCATGGTGGGATAATGACATCATTCTGAGTCACTCTGAGTCATTGGAATGTTCTAGCAAATTCCATGGAACATTCTGGAATTGATGACATCATTATGACATCAGTATGATATCATATCTTTCAACAGAATACCTGCAGGAGTGTGTGTGAAGTCCTATGACATCATTATGACATCATATCCTGTAGGTACAATTTTAGAAGCATCTGATTAGTCAGAGCATCCTAATAGAAAAGTAAAGTAAAGAAACACTAGAGAAAACTACTGTCATATCCCGTATTCTGGACCTTAGTCCGATGATGTTCCCATGCCTTCCGGATGCACATCCAGACCTCCATACCCTTATCCATGCCTTCAAGTCCTCCAGTCCACTATCGGTTTGATTCCATACACCTTCGTACATCCATATATCAATACCTTTGGACCTCCGCAGCTAAGCCTGCTCCATCCACCCTTAGTCCTATCGGATCCGAGCTCATTCCATCTTGGACTCTACCTTCCCTAGACTACTGGTCTATATCCATGATCCTTATCCTAGTTCCGTCTTCACCTATATCTCCGGATCCACTCATCCGATATCCAGACGCTTCATCTGATACCTCTAGACCTCCGGATCCGACCTATACTCATATCCGAGGCCCAAACCTTAAATCAGCGTCTATCTCCTTATGGTAATCCCCTTGACTCCAGACTTTGGTTATCTGTGTTTCCGTCTTGCTTATTGATCCTTGTACTCTGTTCATATCCGAGTTCATTTACTTATGTTCCGTTCATACGTACTAATATGTTTCCACATGCTTGTACATAGCATTTGTGTTCAGCTTACTGATCCTCTCGGATCCCTTCCAGTATATAAAGATCTGTACAACTCCTGTAAAGTTTCCTTAGTTCGAATATCAACATAGACTTGCTCTCTCGCATCTTAGACTTCACTCATTCTTGTCTCGGACTTTGGTCTATCCAAGTTCTGCCTTTCCATCAAAGGCCTAGGGATGGATTCCCTAGGCCGGAAATCGGACCTTCGGATTTGTCCCCTATGTCTCTGTTCTGAAGTCTAGGGATTGATTCTCTAAGACCGAAGTTTTGCCTTTCCGGCACTTCCTGTCTTTCTGAGACTTGTGTCTAAACCCCATCTATCCGACTCTACCATAGTGTAGTCTACCTCTGTTTGTTTCTACTCCAGACCTTGTCCATAGTAGCCTTTCCCCTCCTGTCCTAATCCTGTCCACACCTCCGGTCCTCCAGTCCTCCTAAGCTTCGGACATTGTAACCTTTGGACGTCGTAACCTTTGGACATCGTAACCTTCGGACGTCGTAACCTTCGGATGTCGTAACCTTCGGACGTCGTACCCTTCAGATGCCTTAACCTTCGGACCTCCAGACACCCTGTCCTTCGGACCACTCCTCCTACCCTATCCTGCTTTGGACTCTGTCCCTTGCAGCCTATCCCCTATGTGTTTCTATCTAGGGAACTTACCTTGGGAAGTCTTGCCTTCAGATCTAATACAGTGGATGAAACTCCTCCGGAGTTTCCTATACTCCTCTGGAAGTTTCTCGCACTCATCCGGAAGTCCTCTAGCACTCTACTAGAGTAGCCAGCCTCCGGAAGTCCTTTGGACTTCGTCGGATTCCATCTGGACTTCATTCTGAAATTAAGGGCACATACTTGGGTAAGGGGCACAGCGCATGAGCTGAGGCCAAGCCCTTCGGATCTGTCTACCCTTGAGCTACGGTCTTAACAACTACTCAGAAATAATGGAACAAATAATAGTACACAATATGTGGGCTTTTTAGATAGGTTTTTGTTAGGCTTTGAACTTTTCTCTATGGGTTTCTCTAGCCAAAGTGAATAAGCCAAAGGAAAGGCAATACCTTAACCTTCAATTTGCTTCTCATATCAACTAGGTCATTATGTGATTCCCATCTCACATATGACTTTTCTTCAAAACATGGTAGATTCATGAATCACTGAGGGAAAACTGAAACTATTGGACCAAGGTTTAATACCAAGGTATGGGTTGACTAGTCTGAGGACTAAGCTAACAGACTTTGTCTTTTAGGGGGATACCTAGTAGTCATGTCCATGCATGATTCCCAAATCATGCAGGACACCGGTTTTACAACTCTGGATGAATCTACCATCCTACAAACTGTCACCAAAACCTGGAACCAAGATGAGACCCACTACTGCATAGGAAAACTCTTCTCATCATGCCACATACCTGACAATGAGTTCAAGGCAACCCAAGACTTCATCTCCTCATGCCACATTGAGCTCCTAGATTTCAAAATAACCGGAGGTCTATTAGTCCCCCACTTCAATATCCTCGCAACTAGTCCCACAAATGATGCGAAGACATGGACTGATCTCAGAAGTTACCTAAGCACACTCACTTACCCAACCAGCCTCAATGGCTGTGGAACCACAACGGCCCTTTTTGCCTGTCAAATCTGTCACTCCCTCGCACACCCATGAGGTCTGTGCCCATTCCCACTCATCCCTCATTGGAATGGCCCGAAAGTAGGCGGCAGGAACAGTAATACCGGGGCTCGTCAGACAGGAAGGGCCAGAGGGGGCAGACCTGGATGAAGCACATGACCTGATTTGATCTAACCCAATGCATTAGTACATGATATAGTGAAAACAACACATACTCAAACAAACCCATCATTACTCCCATCCCAAACCCCCTTAGTCCTTGATCTAGATACATATATGCATACCTACCTTACCCACCTCATCCCAGTCCAAGTACAGCAATCACAGTTGTTCCACCAGAACAAAACCACCAGAAACAACCCGAGGCAACGCTCCTGTCTTAGGCCCAGTCCCTAAGAACAAGTGAACCGTTGATGATACAATGCTGTTTCCACTGAGGCATGAACCGGAAAACACTAAACCCCAGCCCAAATATACTGACCATTCTTACAACGGGACAGGAAAGCCAAGGTTTGCCTCACAAAAGCATGGTGCACACCAGACCATGGATACCTTTTTAGGTTTGGACGAGCCGTGCCGAGAGGCTTGTAAGGCTGACTATGAGTTTGAAGGGGAAAGCGAACAAGACGAGATAGAAGAGAGACGTGTTAGTAGGTAACACAAAGATAGATAGGACTAGGACTGGAGACGGGGACTTTCTGAGAGGGCTTCGGTCATTCTTGGAGCAGGTATCTGAATATAGGATTTGCTGCTAGATATGAGTGTACATGAGCTGTATATAAGTGCAAAACAGCAAGGGTCCTCGGGTATATCTTGACTGAACGATTATGAGAAAACGGAGGCAGAAGGGAGTGGCGCTGAGCCTGGCAGGGTAGTGTAGAAGGCATGAATGGAGAGTACAAAAAGATTATGAATGAGTGGCGGTCTGAATGTTATAATTGACGAGAGTTGTGTAGTAGTGACGGTTTTGGAGACAGCGAATTGAAAATAAATGAGAGTAACGAGATAAGGAGAGTTGAAGGTTGTTGTAATGATGAGACCAAGGCCATGCTGGATGTCGACGATAGTGAGATAATGAGCATAAGGAACAAAGGAATATATCCGCGTGACTTGGATATGGAAGGTAACACCTTCCATATCAGTGAGTCACGTGGATGGGTTCGAGCGCTTGGCTTGAGCGTTTTTGTTTTGAAGTCTTGGTCAGGGCGTAGAGAATATCATATCTTTACAGGCTCAAGTTTTCATTAGTACATGATACCAGTCTCACGGGAGCTGTAATTCATTGAAAACGCTAACATAGTCCACTGACAATGAGCCAGGATATGCTCATTCTAAATCTACATCATGATTGTAATGTAGCTTTGGTAACACGATCACCACCAACACTCTACAACACCCCCACATACTCGGTCTCTCTGTTGGTCACGGTGCTCGCTTCCCAGACCATGGAGGAGGTCCACCTCGTACCACTGGGTGGCCCTCCAATGACTGGTCTGGGTCTTTCGGAAGTGGAACTGCCAACCAAAGGCAACCCCAACACCAACAACAACAACCAAACCAGGTAAACGAGGCCCTGAATGAAATTAAAAAAAAAACACGAGCCAACATCAAAATTGCGACTCTGAACATAAAAAGGACGCACCTCCACTAACCTCACCCAAAGCCCAATGTCAAAATGGACTACAATCAACCAAACAATGCATGATCAAAAAATAGGCATATTATGTGTACACAAAACCCACCTGACAAACGAACACGCAAAGCAAATAGACTCCCTTTTCTCCCACAGACTAAGAGTACTCAACACAAGTGACCCACTGTGCCCCGGTAGCTCAGCCGGCATAGCTTTTATCCTAAACAAAGAGTTAACAAACACGTCAAGCGCCACAATGGAAATATTAATACTGGGTTGAGCAGCTATCATGTCATTAAACTGGCACAATAAAACAATCAAATTTTTAAACATATACGCACCAAACAATGCACATGAACACCCTGATTTCTGGAACAAAGTCAGAATGGAATGGTTAAAATCAAATATCAGTGACATAGACTTCATGCTAGGCGATTTCAACCTTACTGAGAACCCAATTGACCGTGCGCCTGCAAGACTAGACAATGAACCCACAATAAACGCTCTAAGAGAACTAAGGTCAGAGATTAAAGTACATGACACTTGGCAGAACGAAAACCCACATCACCAACTGTTCATGTTCAGTAGCAACCAACATACACTGTCACGACTCGACAGGATCTACACATCCGAACGACACCTAGAAAGTATGCTAGACTGGAACACAAAAGTTAGCCAAATACCATCAGACCACCAAATGGTATCAGTGAGATTCGCCCCACCGGGCCTACCACACATTGGCAAAGGAAGACGGACCTGGCCTATAGGAATAATGGCAGATGAAGATCTACTTAAACAAATCATTAAAATAGGCGATGAGAGCCAAAGGGAACTCCACGCACTAAGACAAAGAGACGATGAAGCAAACCCACAAACTATATGGAAGTCTTTCAAAAACAAAATCACAGCCATGGCCAAAGAAAACAACAAAGACACATCTAGTGAGAATAAATCAACAAATCAGAATGCTAACGAAAGACTTACGCAAGATCTCCAACTTGAAAGAAATAGATACCTCTGAAGATGTGAGAATCAACAGAGTGATAATGGAACAAGAAATAAATCACTTACAAAACAAACAAAACAAAAAGGCGCAACTAAAAGCAAAAGTGCAATGGGCATCCCAAGGGGAAACCATAAGTAAGTATTGGTCAAAAATAAACAAACAAAAGCACCAAGAGATATGATCCATTGCCTGAAAATACCGGGATCAAACAGATACACAACAAAATCTGAAGAAATGGCAGAAATAGCAAAAACATACCACAATGACATATAAATGCCCGACACACCCACCAACACTAACATAAACCAAAGTCAAAAACAAGCAAGAGAAGCAACACTGAAAGATATACCAAAAAACCAGAGACTAGATGCACAAACGAACCAAATGAATGAGATCCTAAAGGAGGAGCGCATACTGAACGCACTTATGTCATCAAAATCCGGGGAGCGCAACCGGCATCGACGGAATCCCCTATGAACTGTGGAAAAACCCTCATTATAAATACAAAGAAACATGCATAAACGAAAAACCAGGATTTAATATTATCAAAATCCTTATGATAGTCATCAACGACATACAGTTACATGGAGTCCATAAAGACTCTGACTCCACCCTTGGGTGGATATGCCCTTTATATATATAAAAAGACTGAACTCTGATTGAAAACTACTGCCCCATAACCCTACTGAACACCGACTATAAAATACTAACCAAAGCGCTGGCAATACAACTCACAAAACACATTCACCAGTTAATACATCCTAATCAAAGCGGTTTCGTCCAAGGGAGATCGATCTTTGATCCAATCTGCCTGACACAGGTAATGACCGCCTACGCGGACCTGATGGAGGAAGATGGAGTAATAGTAGCTCTCGACCAAGAAAAGCTTATGATAAAATACACCATAAATACCTCCTTGAAACACTAAAAGCCTTCAACATTCCACCCATGTTCATCAATACCATTTAAAAGCCTATACAACTCAGCATACACCAAAGTAGCGATAAATGGCTTCCTAAGCTCACCATTTGAAGTCTCTCAAGGCGTGAGACAAGGGGATCCCCTATCATGTCTACTCTTCGACATCGCAATTGAACCACTTGCATGTGCACTCCATAACTCCCCAAAATAAAGGATACCAAATACCTGGAGTGAATGAAAGAATCATAGTCAATGTGTATGCAGATGATACAACAGTATACCTCACATGCGACGACAGCTACACTGACCTCGAAGAACTACTCCAAAACTGGTGTCAAGCGTCAGGTGAAAAATTCAATCTCAAAAAAAATAAAAAATACTACCAATAGGTACCAAAGAACACCGACAAAACGAGAGTCAAACAAGAAAACTAAACAATAGAGATGAACCATGGAAAGAACAAGTCCACATAGCCCAAGATGGTAACCAAATCCGATCCCTCGGAGCTTGGATAGGGAATGATGTTGAACACGCAACATCATGGGAACTGATCCTAGAAAAAATAGAAAAGAGCTTCAGAAGATGGGAACTCGGACACCCCTCCCTAGACGGTAAAAAACTAATCATACAAATGATAGCTGGCAGCATAACACAGTTCCTTGCGAAGGCACAAGGAATGCCAAATCCATAGAAACCGCTATCACAAAACTTATTAGAAATTTCATATGGAACAAGAAAAGGACCCCACCCATCAGCAACAAACACCTAGAACAACCAATAACTGAAGGAGGCCTAGACCTCCTAAACATCAAAACAAGAAATAAGGCCATCAACATCACGTGGCTGAAAACATACATGGACATATCAACTCACCGTCCGACATGGGCCTTCATAATTGACGAAATGATAAACCACTTGAAACCCGAAGACCCACAAACACGTCTGACCCAAGAGCCTTCCTCACATCTTGGACCCCTCTGACACAAGGCAAATGAGCAAACAAACTACCAATGATAATCACGACACTGTCAAAAACTGCAAAAAAAACATTGCACCAGGTTGTGTACCGCTAAAGATCTCCAATGATCTCAAAGAACCAACTTCCAGCCTAGTCACATATGGCGCCCCCCCTAAAATGTATCATAAGATAAAAACCTATGCCTAAAACAAACACACAATGCAAAGTTAGTAAAAGACCTGAGAAACATGACAAGGCGACTAACCCACCAAAACACACACCAAAAACAAGATACATGCCTATGCAATGAAATGCATAGAAGACGGGCTAAAGGATGTAAGAACCCACACAAATGCGCTACAACAGCAGAGTCAATACTCCACAACCTCCTCCCCAAATACAACCCATACTCTTCACCACGAAAAGATGACCTAACACTAATGCACAGGAGACTAGAGAAAAATGTGCAGGCAAGAAAACAACCACTACAAGAAGCCACCTTCAACCCATCCATCACGATCAAAAACAGCCTATCCGATGGCTTCTGCATCTTCATCAACCCAACCAGACCCATCCATATACCAGCTTACTGCCTCCACGCTCCCCAAAACGGACAAAGAACACAAAATGACCCACTCACCATCTTCACAGATGGATCCTGCATGAACAATGGGAAACAAGACGCAAAATGCAGAGGAGGCATCTGGATAGCTAACAATCACCCACTAAACCGAGCGATAAGCATACCGGGCACTCACCATTCCAACCAAATAGGAGAACTTGTAGCTGTACTTGTAGCGCTCCAATCAGTAAACCCATCAACACCTGTCAAAATCATGACTGACTCAAAATATGTAATCAATGGCCTAACCACTCACCTAAGCGACTGGGAAGATGCAGGCTGGATAGGAGTATCCAATGCCCCCCATTTTCAAAGCATTAGCATACCAATTAAGACAGCGACCAGCCACCACATCTTTCCAATGGGTAAAGGGCCATAGCAGCATCGAAGGAAATGAAAAGGCAGACCACCTTGCCCAACAAGGAGTGTCGAAAAAATACAGGCACCATCGACCTGTATGTACCGAGAAATTTCAACCTGCAAGGTGCAAAACTGTCAAATATAACACAAAAATTAGCATACAAAGCACTGAAAAATGAAACACACCTAGAATACAACAGACAAACCCTAGGCTTACTGAGCATGACCAGAGCCACTATTGAATCCATGACCGCCACAATCGAGACGGATAAAGCGATATGGAGAAGCTGCAGAAATAAAGACATTGCAAAAAAAATATACAAATGTTCATATACAAAACGCTAAACAATGCTTTCAGAATAGGTGAATATTAGCTACAAATACCCACATTTGAACATAGAGCCAGATGCCAGGCTTGCGGGGAAGTTTTGGAATTGATGGACCACATCCTCACACAATGCAACAACCCAACACAGAATAAAATATGGAGCCTCGCCAGAACCATATGGCCAAGACAACATGGACCATGGCCAGAGCCAAAGATAGGCCTAGTCCTAGGCTGTGTCATATACCATATTCCCAGGTACATATCTGAAGATCCGGATCTCAGATCCAATCCAGATCCGATGGACATATCCGTCATCTGGTCCACAGATCCGATCTAATCCTTATTTCATGTCCTGTTCATATAACTCTAACTATCGTTCATCTCCTTTTGGCATTCCTGTACACCGGTATACCGGTTATCCTTTACTTCTGTTATGCTTACTGATCTGCTACACTTACTGATCCGCTTTAGCTTATACTTCATTCCCGGTTATGATTCATTATCCATCCGACTTACTGATATGCTGTACACATACTTTGCTTATACTTCGTACATAGCCTCGCGTCCTTGCTTATTGATCATTCTGTTAGTTATCCGTAGTATATAAACCCTTGTACATGCGCTGTAGTAGATCAGTTTGAATATCATCTTAGATTGCACTCATTCTGTCTGGACTCTAAGTCCCTCCATTATCCGTCCGGACTCGAGTACAATACTCTTGTCAACTCCGAGACTTAGGATTGATTCCTATGGTCTATATATCCGTCTCTGTCTCCGGACAGTCCTTGCCCGTTAATTTCTAGTTCAGATCCGATCCAGATTAGCCGTTACTATATACATTCGATATCCGGAAGCCCTAACGGATCCGTTATGAGACTTATCCGTCTCAATATACGCGATACTCTAGCACTCTGAAATAAGGGGCCAGACTCGGGAAAGGGGCACAGCGCACGAGCTGAGGCCGAAGCCCTTCGGATCCGATACTACTTGAGTATGGTCTTAACAGGCTGCGGCACACTGTCCATCCCACAACCCCCTTGAGAACAAAATGAAGAAAACCACGCAATCCCAGAAATCAACAAAGGAGCGTCCCGCCTCCTAAAAATCCTGATGTCTGAATCAGCTTATCTTATCTGGACACTATGATGTGAATGAACCATAAAAGGACAAACACATACAGAAGACAACATCACCAGCAGGTGGGTAAACACCATTAACAGACGAATATAACTGGACCACGTGGATAGCAGCTCGAACAAAGAGATCATCTAAAGCCATCACACAAGTCCGTCAAACCTGGGCTGACATAATCAAAATAAACGACAACAAAGCGAACCTGGACAATACTGATTGGGTAACTACACTAGAGGTTTTAGTGGGTATTAAACTACCCAGGCCCTTGCAGACTGAGGCCACCAGGTAGTATATGGAGCCCCACACTACTTCCATATGGAGTGTGCATAAGTAGCATTTTTTCCTCGGATGGTGCCAGTGCACTGCTATAAGTGTTTTATGTAGGGCTAGAAAGTGTCAGTTGCTACTAGGGTCCCGGGAATTAGGGTATGGCATCTGGTTGACAGGCTAATTAGCATGGCCCTCTGCAAGGGCCAAATTTACAGGTGTGAATGACACGAAATTTACACAAATTTACTGACGGGGGTTTGGGGGCAGAGCCCCCGAAAGCTCCAGCTTTTTGACACTAATTAGCGTTAATTTGCAGGTGAATTTCACCTAATTGACTGTAATTTACTCTACAGACTCCCATGTCTCCCACTCATCATCCATTGGTGTCGTTGATGAAGTTGCAGTGTCAGACGTCAGCTTGGATGGAGGTCCGTGACTCGCAGAAGTGGTTGGCTCAAGCTGCACAGGCTGGTCTGAGAGAATATTGAGAAGGAATCCTGATGATAAGTTGATGTGATCACCAACATCAAACATGTCACTTTTTCTCCATCGAAGCTCACATCATCACCATCATAAGGCCACTGTCCCTCACTGGTCTCATCATCCGAGTCGTTTATTGCGACATCTCTTTTCATAGGTGGTCGGACAGGTGGTGGAATGACCATTGGCTTCTCAGGTTGTTGGTCACCAAGGATGGTTGCATGCATATCGCACCATTTGACCGAAGGAGCTGTTTTTGATGCCACTGACTGAATTAGATGTACATCAGTCTTTCAATAGTCCGAACGAGCAAAGGCAACTTACATCAGGTTTCCAGCGGTGCCACTGGCGAATTTGAATGGTTTCTTTTAATGTTGCAATGTCTTGTCGGCTCCGAGTAGGACTATTGAGCCACATTATGGTCGACACAGTCCTCTCATCAGCCATTGACACTGGTACCACAGAATATAACTTGATCGCGAGAGCCTGACACAAGAACAAGACTTTAGTGAATTGAACCAATCGCAATAAATGACTTTATCACCCCAAGAACCTGTGCGTTTTCATCTTTCTGGACAGCGAGCCACCAATCCCGAACATTCTCGTTTTTGCGAGGCTTGTGGTTGAAAGGATCTGCACCTTTGCAATACTCCTTGAGCTTGACCTTCAGTGACTGCAGAGCCTCTCGTGGCGTCAATCCAGCCAAGTGCGGATTTCTCTCCTTCATGAGTTTTGCAGCAACTTGGTTTGACCTTACCCCATCATAAACATCACCGTATTCGTGCTTTAACGTGTGCTGGAGACTTGTGCCAACTTAGGGCGTGACATGGGTTGACCCGGGTCATACCCGCACCCAACCCACAGGTACCAAATATTTCAGAGGCCTACTCGTACCCGTGTGGGTAAGAGCATCACGGGTACAGGTCAACCCACAGGTGGTATGGGTCACCCGTGGGTGAGTAGACATATTTGCAATACTGGTATGTACATGTGCTGAGGAGCGAAAACACTATGTATGAAGCTTAGTCTGAGTCAATAACAATATTGTTGCTCTTTCTCTTTCCTGAGGCCTTGCCTTTGCCCTTTACCATCTTCGTTCGCATGATTGATGTGCATAGACAGACATTAACACTACCAAATGAGCCCAGAATGTATCAATTTCTGCCAGTGAATGGTTACTTTATCAAAAGTCAGGATAAGGGAGCGAGTGGATGAATAGCGCTTCATGTCGTCTTGAACACACATCATAAAAAACCTTGAATGATTGTCAATGATTGAAGTGAAAAAGGAGAAGAAAAAAATTATGTCTCGACTATCTTTTTGCGTTCCAATGGTGTCTTCCCAATGGCATGAGCTTCCTGCCTGACATCACAAAGGAGAAGGTCGACATATTCCCAAAGATTGGTTGATACCCAGTTCCGTTTCTTCTCCATCGTATCAGCAACTGTGACTTCATCAGGTTCTTGGTTCTCTCTTGTGGCTGGATCTGGGCCTAGGGTATCGAGGGAGTCATTGTCTTCATCCCTGTTCTCCACTACAGCAGCACTGTCCTGAGCTGCCAATGTGGCCTTAGACTGCTCAACAACAGTCTGGAAGTTGACAAAGGTACTGCGCTGTTCAATGGCACTTTGTCAGCAGGTTTAAACGAAATGAGAGTAGGATAATGCTTACTAGAAAGGCAAAGTGCACCCAGTGTGCTGCTGTAACTTTGTGACCTGTTGTTGCCAGAGACTTGGCGAGGACAGATATATTGGCCTTGATTTTGACACTATGATTGATCTTTGAAACATGTGAGTGCAAAAATCACATTAAAAAAATGCCGAGTACCTTTTGCTTCATGCTCCCCCGCTGTGCCGTCAAATTCTCCTTGATGAATGTAGTCACCACATCTGACATCTCCGAATCCTCGAAGATTCCATCGGGAATTTTGAAAGTTGTAGGGTGTTTCTTTGTGTAGGCCTTGACTCACGTGAATCAGTATATTGAGTAGCGTATGTAAGGTCCGTACTTACAATGACATTGTCTGCAAGCTTGAGGACATATCCTGTTAGGTTCGGCGATAGTAAGCATGCACATAATCTATCTTTCATGATACCCTGAAACCAAGATAAGCCATGAATCACGCGAAGTTCAGGTGGTTACCTTGAAATCATCCGAAGCAATAAATTCCTGACTTGCAGATCGTTTGGCGGCCCTTTGCATTGTGAGCAGGGTTGCCATCAAATTCAAAAACATCTCCTTGACAGACTTGGCCTGGCATTGGACTGGTCAGTCAATATAAGATTTAGTTTGGAGATCATTACTCACATTGAGAAAGTCATCCAAAGCGTTGTCGGGCAGACCATGGGTCCTGCAAACATCCATAGCAAATCGTTTAAGCCATTTTGTTTCATGTTCACTGTCGATATCATTGTCGGCTGAAGCACTTCGTGGGCGTCTCACTGGAGTTGTGGGGGGACTCAAACTTGTGGCCCTGCGGTCGGCAGCCAAGTCTGTCGTGGGAGTATTTTCCTCAACATCATTCACAAGACCAGCCGCTTGGACTGCAGTGGAAGAACCTCGTCGAGCTGGTGCTTGGAAGAGTCTGAATTGGGTCAACAGACTTGGACGAGCCATTGTGAGGGTCAACTCAGTGCAGGGCAAAGAAATGAGACACAACAACAGACATAGTCATAGTGTACAGTTTGTATAGAAAGTATATACTAAAATGTTTAATGTCCATCATAAGCACGGAAATTATGAAGAAAATGACCTGGAAAACTGCTTGCAGCGGGCAGGTGGGGGGGCATGTGCTGCACGACAGATAAATGACTAGAATTATCAGGTGGATATGAAGCGTGAGTAAAGTTTTCGGTTGGTGGAGCATACCCATGATGTTGCGGACAAGCTGGTTCAGAAGGGCCCGCATGCATCTGTGAGTAGCCATGTGGCTGTAGAGTTCCTGAGGGCACATAACCGAGGGCGTCAGATCGTGAAAACGCGGCTTCGTTTTGTAATATAGCACCAGCTGGCAGGGTGCTATAGACCTGCTGCAGGTGTTGCAGTTGAGATGTAGAGGGTCCTGGATCTAGGCCAGTCACAAGTTTCTTCTTCAGCACCACTTTGATCTTGCCCTTCTTTCGTTTGTTGCTTGTGCTGCGATCAAAGGCCGGGGGTAAGTCTCCAGTATCATTCTCCCTCACTTTCTCCAGGTCAACAGGATTGGCACTGTCCAATGCTTTCTTTTGGTGCACGAGTGCCACAGCATGGAGATGTATGGCATGGTGGTCCAATATCCATGGCATGCTGATCTGGGCGCGTATATTCGGCGGAAGTAGCGCTGAGATGTATCGGTAGTTGTGAAGCGCATGGATATTGAGAAAGTAGGTGTTGTTGGGTGCATGATCAACGAGCTGCAGGAGTCTCATCGTGATGATGCGCTCCTGCCGCTCTCGCACATTCCGGATGCCACAGTTTGATCCAGATGTGCAGTCATGTTGAACATTGGCGACACACAATATTTCCTTGCATGAACTCTCAGTATGAGCACAAAGAGTAATTAAGATAAGACTTACATCGGGTGTAAGGACCACAATATCATCAACGTCTGGAAATCTGAGGCGTGGCACACGTAATTGAGGGTGTAGTTCACCTAATGAGAATTTGAGACGCCGAATGACGACATGTGTCGCGATGCATCCTTGGTGTGGCATAAGTATTTCAATGACTTTGCCGATAGAGAGCTAGAACAGAGAAGCAGCACTTAGTAAGATGCTGCCTTGCAATACATCATTACTTACCTCGTTCAAACACATCTGATTGCACCTCATGATGACATGGCTCCCCAGCAGCGCACTGCTGTGATCTGCCGCTATGAAAGAAACACACTTGTAAAAAAGCGATGTGGCAGGGAATTGACGTGTTCCAGGAGGAAGAAGTGCAGTTGACTGTGTCAAACACCATTCAACTGGTGGGACTTTGCCCCCTGTATCCTTGTGAGTTGGCAAACAAACCGATCCTACCAGGAGATTAACAGGTCGTTTGAGTGTGATTGAAGCATTACTTACCGATTAGTTTTTCACTTGTGGTGGGTAAGCCTATCAAACGGCATTGTTCAGGGTGTGCAGCCATGTATGCAGCGACGTTGCTGCCAGCATGGACCCATTTCCGTGTCTTTGGGTCGCGCCAGAAACCTCCAGTTACAATGTGCTTGACAATATCAAAGCCACTGAATGTATGACAAGTGTTGCGGCTGGGAGCTTGACGGTTGCTGTAGATAGATGACAGACGGAAAACGTGATTGAAGGACTCAAAGCGCTCAGTTGAGAACAGAATTGCTGGTCCAAAGCGCCATATGAAAGCTGGAAGATGGAGGAGGAAATGGAACTTTGCCTTCATGATGAGGATGCTGGGCGCACATTTAGTGCTGATACTGAGAAAGTCGTCAATTGTCCATGATAGATCAGCCTTGAAATTGAAATGAGGCAATAATACTATTGAAGATGAGTGTGACGCACCAATTATCCTCAGCATTCTCAATCACTGTGTGCCAGAGAAGCACTACGAGCTTGCCAATCATGGTCCAACCATCGAGAACTGAGTGCGGAACTAGGTCATAGATCAGGTATGGCATTACCTGTGCAAGGCTCTTGAAATGCTTGCCAATCAAACCTCCTTTGAAACGGCAGATGTACTCTGCTCCAAGAGTCGGCGAATTCAAGCCTTCCTTGTTGACAGATTCCAGTCGCATCTGGAATGTATTGAGCAAGTAATTTTTATCGAGTATCCATACTGTCTGGCCCCAGAAGTACTTGACGACACCGAGAAGGACAGTATGTAGGATTTCTGTGGGTGTATCTTGATGAACATCGACACTCGGCATACCAAGAAGTGGGTTGATGTGATCATCAAGCGAATGACCATCTAATGCAGCCTCGAGCTCGCGCTTGAGCTGCACATGAACATCCACTTCAGAAATGACAGGCTTCCCGGCCTCGCGTTTGCGAAGTTGTTTTCCAAGCTCCAGAAGGCGATTTATGATCGCTGATGTAGCTGCGTCTCAGGTCCCTGTTGATGCCACAGCACTCTGAACTTTGGTGGTTCCACCAGGGAGTTTTGCAAGCTCGATTTGCTCTTTCACCTGCACCAGTGTTTCCTCCGGCATTCGAAGTTCAGCAGACTATAAGTACATTAGTTTAGAAACACACAGAGTATGAAGGTCTGGACAAGCCTTGAATATGCTACAGTAACCCGCATCAGACTTCTTGTCTACATTTGTGCCACCAACTTTGCATGTCTGGCAGAAAAAATTACACCTCAGCCCACCATGGCTGCATTCTTCAGCCTGCATCAGATTGTCACCTGCCGTGAAGACAATATGAGGGATGAGCATGACTTCTTCATGGTATTTACAATCCCAGGCAATAACACCATCATCTGCAGCATTTCTGAGTGCATGATCATTGTCAGACACAAGTAGTTGTAATAAGAGCATACATACCGAATGGATTGCATTACGGCTCGCATGAGCTCTAAGGGAGCTGCGTGGGGTGATGACGACACAAATTGGACGCAAAATTCTTTTTCAAGCATTTCGCGGGGCATGGCAGCATTCAACATATAGACGACGTGGTGCTTATTTCACTGTTTTGATATATTTCCCGATACATCATCCATGAAGACAATGAGTGGGACACTTGAGACCATGCAACCACCAGATTTCTCTCGAAGGGGATTTGGCATGAGATGGGCATGGGAAGAAGACGAATCTTGAGATGATGTGTTAAGTAACATCAAGATGAGCATGATGCGAGCTCACCTGTAAAGCCACATGAAAACTCCTTAGAACAAGCTTGAATATCCTCGAAGGTGCGCGAAAACGTTGATACTGGTGTGATAACCTGTTCAGGATCAACTGCAAAGCCCTCCTGTATACAACACTGGATGAGTCAAAATCACAAAATTAGAATGAGCTTACCTCTGTCCGAGTGACAAAATGTCCCAAAGACAATATTTCAGCATTGTGGTCAGCAGATACCTGTGCCTGAAAGAACTTCTTAGGAATAAAATAGTCCTTTGACACTTGTTGGAGGAGCTCGTTGACAAAGAATATGCTCCCGCCAACATGAACACTTGGCGTTGCAAGATTGCCGGGAAGACCATGAAGCATTTTCTCACCATGGTGAATCTGCAACATTCGACCTTGACCTTCTTCAGGGTAGTCCCGCATAGTCAGTCATGTGAGTGGATTGGAATAATCCTGAGATCAAAAAGTGTGAGCCAACGCGCATTGATGGTAGTAGTTCTAAGACCTACTTTTGCTATGGCCTTGCCCACAGAGTTGATATAAAAAACATTGCCGGAGGCTACGCTAACTTTCTCAGTCAGGTTTCCAACAAGTTCCTTGATCCTATCCTGCGCTTTCCGGAGACTATGAAGTGAGGGGACGCCTGTTGCCCCAAGCGCAGTTGCCCAATTGAGAACGGCCCTCTTCTGTGCTTCAGAGAATCGAAGCCGGGGTGAGCTAAAGAGAAGATGTGTGATAAATTCCTGCTTTTATGATTAATGTGTGGTTATTTGGAAAATGATGGAACTTACGGATGTTGTCGCCCATGGAAAAGTTGGTGAGTCCAGAGGAACCTCTGATTTTGAAGCTGGGCTGTCCATTTCAGAGGATATACCTGGCCATAGCATTAATAATGGTATATGTAAAGATAAAAGAGACTGTACGTACCTGAAAGGTCTATTCCATAATTGTCCAACTCAAGACCATCGTCGAAGTCCGCATCAACATCGTCTGTCTCCATACCCAGCTCATCAGAGCTAGGGGGTAAGGGACAGGAAAACAGCAACTCTCCTCGCTGAAGAGCTGCCTGCATCTCTTCATAGTAGTATGCATGCAAAAATGTGCATGCTGAGGCTGCGCCATGCCAAAGCTCCTCGATTGGAAAGTAAGACTCATCATCCTCCACATTATTGTTTACAGGATCCATCAGTGGAGGTGTCGCATCGTCAGACATTTGATCAGAAGGTAGCTGGCTGCAAGAAGGTTCGTTGTGTGAGGTCGAGTCGGAGGGCTCAAGCATGTTGAAGTCGATGTTGGGCTCGGAACTGGGTGGAGGGGTTGCATGACTACAGCACAGTGCATGTGAGAGATTCCATTGGTGCTTCTTTGTTCCGTCATGGGCAGCGATGTGACATTGACGCATCGTTGAAATGGTATTCTTTAACTGTGGGCATACCTTGCATATAACATGGCCCATCTCACTGGCTTGTCCATACACTGCGACTAAAATCAGTTTTCGTTCAAAGGATTTGACATAAGGCTGACCAAAAGGATCCAAGACTACAGTTTTCTTTAGCCGCATTGGTGAGGTTCTAACGTTTTGCTGTTAGACTTGGATGATTGAGAGAATGAACACATGTAGGTGCCCCCACAAGAGCATTCATATGCTCTTATATGAGCATCTACACATGTTCAGCATGCTGGTGAGGGTTGGTGAGGTCAAGGGCATGAGTAATCTAGTACCAGCTGATCGATCATTGTGATGAAGCGGAACAACTCACATGATGACCAACCAACAACTTGAAACATCCTTTCAATACGCCTCCAATCCCTTTGGCAACATGTTTCTCACAACAACCAGCACAGATACTTCTTTCCGTGTCGATATGGTACAACATGAAATCGGACTCAGTCTTGCCTCTCTTTGCTTATCTATCCGCTTTGTTGGAAACATACAGTCTCAGTTGCAAAACCCACCCACATTCATTGTCAGTCAATTTTTTCTGCATCATCTTCCATCCGTCTCACAAATTTTTTCAGCCACTGAAACTCTCTATTCATATTCCTGAAGCATATGCCAGTCAAATTTCTTCCATCGTTGAATGTATCAGTCTACATGTTGCTTTGAGTGGCCGCCCATCATTGAATAGTCTACCAGAGGTAATTGTACTGTCCACACAGATACTTAATTTTCAATGATGACATTATATGCAGGGCAGCTTTCCTTTCTTTCCTCTCGCATCCAACTTCAATCACCTCGATGGTCGGACTTGGGCACTGCTTGCCAACACCATTCAAGATTGGCTTACTGACAATATTTCTTTGACACGTTCAGATGTGTGGTTGTGGGGCCGTGAATTTTTTTGGATGGCATTCGTTGCAGCATTTCCTGGATTTCCACGCCGAGAATGGCCACTGTGGGACCCAAAGATTGGCATGGAGGGCGAGTTTATCACCTATTGGATGTCTGACTTTGGTTCAGGCAGTGAGGGGCCACTCAAGGACATCCAGAATGGTGTGTGGAGGAAATTTCATGATCTCGCAACAATGCTATACCTGCTTCCTCTCTTTAAGGATTATTGATTCCTATGTTCATCTGTGTTCATCCATACCCATGTATTTCCCATAGACTTTGCTTGCGTGTAATATAAGACAATGCATGTATCGTGTTCAATAGATATCACGCATGATTTGTTTTCTTTTTCTGTCGGCACTTGGAAGGCACAGCAATCTGATCACACAATGCTACTCATAAGTGGGTCTCGGTACCCAGCTGAATGACAATGACCAAGCAATCCGCATTAGATCTACAATAGTGGTTACCTAGACCTCAGTGTGGATGCTCACCAGATATTTAAGCAATGACTTGTTGACCTGACGAGCTGAGCTGAGCATCAATGTTTACATTACAGTAACATATCTACATCACTTATGGGTGCTATCACCGTTTGTCAGACCTTTCTTAGACCCTTAAAAACACTGGTTCATAATACAGGCAAAAAATTGTATCACTAAGACCATTGGTCCATATGTTTATGATTGGTTCCTTTCAGGCTTGATTGTGACTGGATTGAGGTACACAATTGAACTTCCGTCAAATGTTAGGTAAAGCAAAATACACATTTGGCGGTGTAGTTGCTACATAATAGGTGCACTCAGAGTAAGATTCAGGATTTTCGCTAAGCTCGGTAAAGCTCGGTAAAGCTCGGTAGAGTTTTGGCAAAACTCGGCAGCACGTAAATTAGTCATACCGGCACACTTCGGCATGAAATTGGACATTCAAACGACACTTAGAATTCACGAGAGGATGCAGGAAAAGTCATGCATTAGGTAGAGATGCAGGCAAAGTCATACATTAGGTAGAGTAACTCTGACATGTGTATTCAACTGAGATGTAAAGTTGGCAAAAAAAACAAGTCCCGTGTGATCAATGACATCTGGCATAGCACAGCAAGCGCCGGGGGGAGAGGTTAATGCTGAGAAACGAGGGGGACGAGGGCGGGTAAGGTTGAGGGCCAGAGGGCGGGTAAGGCTGAGTACCTGGGGCAAATGGTAAGGCTGAGCACCTGGGGCAAAGGATAAGGCTGAGCACCTGGGGCAAAGGGTAAGGCTGAGTACCTGGGGGAAGAGGACAAGGGCATCGACAAAAATCTGCATGCCTCCGCGGAGACGCAAGATCAGGGTAGACTCCTCCAAGTCCTTCTGGATGTTGTAGTCACTAAGAGTACGGCTGTCTTGCAACGTTCCAGCGAAGATGAGGCGCTGGTCAGGAGGAATGCCTTCCTTGTCCTGGATCTTTGCCTTCACATTGTCGATGGTGTCCGATGATTCCACCTCCAACGTGAGGGTCTTGACGAAGATCTGTATGCCACCACGGAGACGGAGAACGAGGTGGATGGTGGATGTGGGTGGGGTGCGACTTCCAGAGAGGCGAGAGAAATTCTGCATGCCACCAATCAATCATCAGAACTTTCCGAAATTTCAAACTCCACTATAAGCTGCGTCACATATACCAACTCAATAGGGGTGTTGATTCCGTTGATTCCCATCATGCCTCGTCAATCCAAACGTCAACAGATGCTGAATGATATTGACCAGGCTGCCCTTGTGGTAGCCAGGGCAAGATACCAGCATGTTATGGAAGATGATGACTCTACGGACTCGATCTTGAGCCTCGACTCTCAGTTGGACCTTACTCGTAACTCGGATCTTGATATTTTCATGGATATTATGCTTTCTCCCTCTTCGCCTCTTTCTCCAGCCTTCTCAGGCTTATCTGATTTTTCTGATGGGGACATCTCATCGGATGATGATGATCATACTCTCGCCCACTATAATTGCCTGCAAGATTCCATTGCAACTCTCCAGGATGAAGTTTTGAAGGCTCGTGTACTCCACAGGCCTGATGAACCTCTCCCACAAGCCCCACAACTCTACCTTCTAGTTCATTTTAGGAAACATTGCCCTCTCTTATTTCATCACAAATTACGGGTCGACCCAGACATTTTCAACAATATTCTTGATTTAATCTCTGGCCATCGTATTTTTCACAACAACTCGAACAACTCCCAGCTTCCTGTTGCGATTCAACTCACAATCTTTCTTAACCGTGCTGGCCACTACGGTAACTCCATCTCCCTACTGGAGGTGTCTCAGTGGGCAGGGGTCAGTGTTGGCTCCATTGTTAACTGCACTAATTGTGTCATGGTCGCCCTACTTGACCAGCATGATGCGTTCATGGGCTTCCCTCCCCATGATTCTGAGGATTTTAACTGTGCTCGGAGGTATAGTGCAAAGGCTACCACTTGCCCTGAGTGGCAGAATGGTGTCCTAGCTGTTGATGGGACAACGGTTGATTTGTATGCCACACCGGGTTTTTACCATGAGGCTTTTTATGACAGGAAATGAAAATATTCCCTTGGCTGTCAGGTAAGTTTGCTTTTTATTTATTTTCTACCATTATAAATTAAAATAAATTCAAGGCAGTCATTATGCCCCACAATCTTCTTATAGTCGATTATTCTCTCGGTCACCCTGGAAGCGTCCATGATGCATATGCGTTTAGATCAACTCATATCTATCAAGAGCACGACACACTTCTGCCAGCTGATCACTGGGTTTGGGCAGACAGTGCTTATCCATTGAGCACCTGGTGTATTCCCCCTTTCAAGAAGCCCCGTGGTGGTCGTCTGACAGCGAATCAGAGGACATTCAATTATTATCTTTCCAAAGTTTGTGCTGTTTTTTTCCTGATTATTTGAAATTTTACAAGTTATTTAGGTCCGTGTTTGCGTTGAACATGCATTTGCTGCATTGAAAGGGCGGTTTCAATCCCTTCGAGATCTCCAACAGAATATCAATTCGGCAGATGACTTGCAGGCAGCTGTCCACTGGATCCAGTGTTGCCTCATACTTCACAACATGATTATCCGATTTGAAGAAAATCAAGCTCTTACGGAAACAACTGGCTCAGTGGCATGGTCCTGTCAGGAGGACAATAATTACATTCACCCAGCAAATGAAGGACCTGATGGGGATGGACAAGTAGGTGATAGGTTGTATGAGGGGACTCCAGGTCATGCATGTCGTGAGAGATTGAAGGATCTTTTATTTGACAGTCCTCACACCAAAGCAGTACGCAGAGAAGACTAACAATAGTTTGCAAGAAACACCAGGACATCATTGTATAGTAAAGTACCACAACAGAGTATGAGTTACATATGAGTGACATAGACAGTAGCGTGAAAACGAGCATAAAAAACAAGAACAAAAGAGAGATTGCAAGCATCACACTCAAGCCTGAGACCCAGACCCAGAAAGACGTGCAAACTCAATCTTGAGGCGCATGGTTGCCGCCTCCTCCACATGCACTTGCGCTAATGCCGCGTGCATCTTCATCTCTGCTTCTCGAAGACGAATCTCGGACTCCTTGGCCTCCAGGGCACGTTGATGCGCAGTGGCAGCTTCGGCGAAAGTATCCGCACATTCAGCTTTGAGGAATTTGTGTTCGTTGACTTGGCGCACGAAGTTGTCCTTGGCCATGTACCACTTGTTCTTGAGTTCGTCCCGAGTGACACAGTCCAACTGCGCACTCTCGATCTCGTCAGAGAGTGCGCCAACCTGACTCTGAAGGTCAGACCACTGCTTCTTCCCCTGCCTCGTTTTTCCTGCGGATGCTGACGCGAAATTGGCTGGTGACGTCATTGATGTTGATGCAGGTGCTGATGACGCCAACTCAGGCTTTGAGCGCAAAGAGCCTGAAGAGCGGCGAGAGGACACTTTGACTGACCCCATGCTAGGGCGCCGTTGCGGATTGGACATCCCAAAGGATGCACGACTGTCCCGGTGAGACATCTGCGATGTGTGCGGCAGCATGAATTCAGATCGTTGAGATTGAGGCGGAGGGGTAATGGGGGGCAAAGGGGACGACGGAGGAGCCGGACGTTTGGATGCAGCATGTGCAGACCTCAGCGGACTGTCGAGAATAATAGCATGAGGGTCGTCGCGGTAATCACGTCGCAGGGGGGGAGTCGGCTTTGGTAGATCTTCGAATGAAAAATCCATGTCATTGTCGTGATTGAGAGGACTGAAATAATTTGGCATGTCGTCGTCGTCGTCATCGAGAAGCGAGTTGGGGTCGTTGCGAGAGCGTGCGGGGGGCGCGCCAGACTGGTGGTGATGTGGGTACTGGCTATGAGGGGCATGGCCAAACGCGTATTGACTGCCGTGGGGCTGAGCGCCCAAGGGCGGGTAATGCTGAGCGCCCGAGGGTACATAAGGTTGAGCGCCTGAGGGCGGGTAAGGTTGAGGGTTAGAGGGCGGGTAAGGTTGAGGGTTGGAGGGCGGGTAAGGTTGAGTGTCAGAGGGCAGGTAAGGTTGAGGGTAAGAGGGCGGGTAAGGCTGAGAAGCTGAGGGGGGAAGCTGAGGAGAGTATGGCTGAGCGCCAGCGGGAGGAAGCTGAGGAGAGAAAGGCTGGGCGCTAAACTGAGCACTCCCAGAGCCCAGACTGTTGGAATACGAGCTGCCGGCGGTACATGAGATGGAGAAATATTTTGCTGCGTGGTCTACTCCCAGGTGTGACGAGACTGTCTTGAGGGATATTGCTGGATTCCCCCCCATGATGTCAATGAGTTCATCATACCAGGGGAATTCCTTCAAAATTTGCGCTGTGAATTTAATCAGTCAGGCTATGATAGATGTAATTTTTTTTAAAAATGCACCCATGCAAATTCTGCGCTTCATCCTCTGGCATGATACCCAGCGCCGGTTGAGTGTAACTTGTCATAGGACTCATGATACTTTCTTCTGAGTCTGTGAAACGAATATTAGTACACTTTGAGGAAGAGAGTCAGAACAACATACCCGTTGATGTGACTATTTGTCGAGTCTTGAAATTTGTCGGGCTCGTCCGCGTAATGCTTCACATAGTCAGCATCATTCTTGAACACATACTTCACAATAACAGCACAGACTGAAAGTTTATCTTTGCCCGAGGGACGGTCACTATCATTCTGTGGTCGTTTTGCATCAGAGGAAAATAGGATCCAGCAGTCAGCTGGGTGGTCATGGAGGTGGTCAATGACTTTCTGGGTGCGGAAGGTGCAGATAGCCACTGTATCTGGAATTTGGGGTGATCTGACCCTCCTCCCACAGCAGGATGCTGTGTGCCTCTACTCTTGCTACCCCTCCCGCGAGTGACCGGCCCCTGTGTTGGATCCATGGCGTTTTTGCCCCTTGGAAAGGGTGTCTGTAAAGCTTTCAGTCGCGCAGAGCGACGTCGAGGTGGTGGTTGAACGACAGGCATAACTTTCGAAGTCCGCTAGGGTGCCGAAATCTGCCGCATGTCAGGTGCGTGGCAAGCCCCGAGTTTGGTGAGCTTCTTACCGAGCTTTACCGAGCTTAGCGAGAATTCTGAATCTTACTTTGAGTACCATTCGCTTTTCCAAAAAAAAAAAAGATAAAATGTTGGCAAGACGGAGCGTGGGAGAAATGGACACAGCTTTTGCAGATCGACTGACGCACTAACGTGGGAGTCGGCGATTTATATCCGCCATGCCATCTTTTCGGCGGGCGTCTTCCAAGAATGAGGATGAGGCGTATACAGAGGTAAGCTCATAAGGTGACGCTAGTAAATGTTTCGCCTATGACGCGACTTGCAGGGAGTCTCCCAAGCAAACCGGCAGAAAGGCAACTCAAGAAGGATCATGGTCCCCTCTCCAATCATGCGTGTTACAAGGGCATCCATGTCACTCGATGGCCTGCTAGATTTTTTTCGAACTGGAATAGAAAGCCGTGCGTCTGGTGACCCAACAAACGGCCCCAAAAAGCCAGTTATTTTGAACGTTTTATGTGCTCCGTGCTGCCAGAGTGTTTGGAAGTACGCCGCCAGGTACAAGACAGCGATTCCAGAACGGACAACTTTGTATGGATAGTATTTTGAAATGGACAACGAAGCTAACTGAAGGCAGGGCACTCTTCTTCGACCTTTGTCTCGGTACGAGTTGTCGGCTGCGATAAAGTATGCGTCCGCGTTTGGTGCGGTGGCTCTTCCTTCACCGGCACAGGCAAACTATATTGAGAAAGCTGCAACTCCGTCGGGTAAGCAATAGACGCGACTCAGAGACTAGAGGTTTATTTGTGTGGCAGGAAAGGCGTAGAACAGATATTCAGGAGCTAGACTTTGTCAATTACAATTCTTTGACCTCCGCACCCCCCCCAATTACCGCCTCAGTCGCCACAATCAGGCATTTTTAACTCGCTAAAATCTATCCGAACGACACCTTACGAAACGTCTTTCTTATCACGCCTATGTGGCCATAGACTCCTACAGACTCGGGGCCAGTTTCAGTAGACTGGGAAACCAGATCTCCTTGGATAGAATTGATGACAGATGTGCGAGAGCACTACTCATATGCGCAGTAGGTCTTGTTTACTCGAATGACTGCGCTGCTCACCTCATTATCATCAGCCCCACATCATCTCAATCACCTGAAGTTCCGGTTCCAATCCGTTACGTCTCCCTGCAGCCGTTCCACCTTCAACAGGTACACGAATTATTAGCTAGAGTGTTTTGGGATGGAATTGATAGTTTGTTGTATCCTCTCATCTTCATAAGTTGCTCTCATGTAATTCAGTTAGCGACTTGCTTCAGTCTTCTCCCGAGCGTTGCTCAGTGATCGCCATGTATGGCAAAATTGTCATCGGCGTGGCTCTTTTGAGCTCGCCTCAGGAAGCGTATATCACACGTACCTGGCCGTCAGAGCAGGCTGGCATAATTCTCAGATAGCAACGTGTGTTGCAATTTCTCGACACTTAGAATAATAGCTTATGATCTTCATCTCTGCAGTACTATGCTGTATCACCTGATCATGCTCAATCCGCACAGAGATATCACACTTCACGTAGCTGCTAATAATCCAGCGATGGTGCGCTTTTGCTAGTGATCGGTGTTGGCACACATTTCTAAAATTTGTCTAGTTGCTGTACAACAGATTTGGGTTCAAGGCTGAGGAGTTCATCGCAGGATTTTACGAAGATTACCTGGACTCTCAGTCAAGGGCATCTATGAATGCCTTCAGATTGCGTCTTCGACGATGACAACACGATTTTCAGATTGGCACTGATCTAATCACCAGAACGACAGGGACCTGCTGGTCCAGTACTCCCGGGGGTACTTTGTCGGGAATAGTTATATCCGCCAAAGTCAAGGTGTTGATATGCGCCCGGCGTATCAATCGCGATGTTCCATCACTAGGGACCAGGCACAACCGCAATGCTAGGGAGTCAACCATAACATATTAATCCGAATGTCATGAATAGCAAATATGAATGTATGTTACATGTCCGTGCTTCGATTCTGCCGGTCTCAAGCATCTCGTGTCATCACATGGGAAAAAATGGAATTTAATGGTCAAGAAGCATTTTTTCAGGAAACCCGACGGTAGTTCGCATGCTGGTTGCTAGTTGAAATGGGTGTCCATTTTGATCGATTGCGATGGTCAAACAAAATTATTGACTTAGTCATTAACACGAGGACAGTCCAGGATGCGTACCCGGCGCCTTCAGCCCATGTTATGATCGTTGATGCAGTACAGCTAGCAATATGGATGCAACACAGGTCTAGTGATCTCCCACCTCTATTGCGCATAAAGCCGCTCTCTACCAACAGCGTTGGTTTACTACCTGTTGTACAGCCAAGCTGTTGTGGTGTCATTAGTAAGTGAAGTATAACTTTTAGGGAGGGGTATAAGATCCTCATGTTTTGCGTATGATTTTTTCGGGCCTCTCAATGGTGGACTCGATGGCCGGCCCTATGCTCATGACCAACGTGTTTCAGGAGCATACATCGAGGGTGAGTCTGCACTTGGCCAGATGACGATCTGATCGGTGCCACAACAGTATATGAAAGATCACTAACTGAACCCTGCAAGATCGACATCTCACGTTACTGATTGCTATCCACTTTCCAGTTGCCGGCGTGATCATCTTTGCAAGTTAATGCTAGCCACTGATCGCCTCTCTTGACGAGTTTGTGCCAGGCTTATGACTATCTTGTGACAACGGACAAGAGGTGTACTACATAACATTGTTTTGAACAATTATTCCTCGTTCATATGTGCTACCTGCAGGTTAGACTCCATATGTGGGTGTCGAAGTGGGGCACGGCAAGGGTCCTCCAAAATTTGTCTGTTCAAACCCAGTTCTTCGTCCACCTTGACATATGATTTGTTCGCAGTCGTATCGGTCATGTCAGGTTATGTCTGTCTGTACTCGGATATGGAGAATAGGATCAATGTTTCCCATTATACGATGCCGCTATGTAAGTTGGACTCATCAAACAAAAGTGCCAATGCGTTATTCGTATTTTTTCCTGATACTGGTTGTAACTGAGATTGGTATGTTGTGTTATTGGCATGTCTTTCACTGTCAACTTATGTATTCATCAGTGGTCCTCATTCTCATGCTGATTCACGCCAGGGTGTACTCGCGGCAAATGACCGGCGTTGGGAGTGGTTTGTTGATGTCGCTGTATCGTGATTCTATTCTTCATATAGTATGCCTACTGCCTAAGCCCTTTCATGACTGCATTCAAATGATCGCGAATGACCAACTTCGTAATACGGTCGTATCTATAGCGAACGTGGTAGTCATGTCCGCCATTTAAGTGAGTGATCAGATACCTCTTCTGGTATGGCGACTTAGGAACTCCAACGAAACAGCCATGCTACAATCAACTTCTTTGACACATGCATCGCGTCGTTTCTTAACGTCTGTCCAAGACTGGATATGCTGTAACGTAGATTCCCGGCAGTCATGCACTCCGTCCTTTCCTTCCGTATCATGTTTAATCTCAGGCAAAAGTGCATTTTACATTCCATGGACATCTCGGACATGACTTTCGGTAGAATTTAACCTTATGATCAGGAGGTGATGTGAAGAACAGAAGTAGTTTTTCCAGGGCTATGTGTGGCATGTATTACGACTAGATTCAATCACTTAGAGTACCAAGTGTGATCAATTGAACTAACCTCTCGCACTTTGATCCTGCCAACTGCCGGGATTGATAGGGGTTTATTACATGAAAAGGCAATGTTTGTTTGTCAATTGTTCCCAGGCATGGCGGTTGGTGGATTGTGCAACCAACAATCCTTTCTACTTAGCTTTCGCAGGCGCAGCCATTGATTTCTACGTATACTTACGTGCGAGGACATCAGGCCTGTTCCTTGCCTTTCTGTTGTACTTATCTGCTTTCTGGTTTATGATCTGTGTGTCACGAATTGCTATGCCTTTCCCATTTACATTCAGTTTTCGCGTACCGGGTCTTCACAATCCGTTTACCGCTCAATCGGCAGTAAAACCGTCCCGGAATGACAGGAAAGATGCTCGGCTTGATCCTGCATCTGCTATTTCTCGACGTAATTGCACCCAATTTCCTCCTCCCCGCCGTGCATCACCGTCACCATCACTATCATCATTTGTACCACTAAACCGTAAGCGCGGTTGGGTGCCTTCTATCTCTGAACCCAGCCAAGCCGCCACAAGCGCCGCATCTACTCGAGGTTATCTCGACACACCCGCAAAGTACAGGGATATGGCACATGAAGCGCCCGAACAGGAATTTGTTGAAGAAATGTTTGCAGGTGTGTCTCAATCATCCGTGATGTAGCATTACATATTTCGCAAGCAATACCCGCGCCATGCGCACGCCATGTGTTATCCATGCGCAGGCTGCGGTTTATATTTTGAAGTCATCTCTCTTGCTTCTTTACTTTCATCTTTCAACCCACTTTCATTCATGCCTTTCGTCATCGTTATTGAAATAGATGTAGAATTACCACCCGCCAAGCGGCGTCGCACTCTCGCAGGTTCGATCGTGTCCACAGCGTTGAGCGCTGCTCTTATCGGGACTGCTGTTGGTCTCACTGTATATCGCCTGTGAGTGCTGAATTTCAGTTCGATATTAATGTTACTTATCACTATTGAGCGTAGCTGGCGGGACCGAGGCAAGGAACAAGAAAGAATACAACCACTACCACCACCATACCACCCGGGTGACTGGGCCCCCGAACAAGTATGTACAGCTTGGCGTGTGTCACTGTCTCGTCATTGACATACTTTCAGTACAAGGATATTCAAGTTACCCCTCCTACTCCGAAATCGCGCAAGCCTCGCTCAACGCCTTCTGTTCGGTCGTTCCGGCACACGACACCGCAGGGTGCGAGCTCGCGGTCGACCGGTTACCCCATCACGTAGTGTTTCCCCCCTACCCTCATGGCTCATCCACCCCCAGAATTTGATTTCGTGCATGTAAACCAAGACGAAGATGAAGAGGAGGACGAACCTGAGGCTGACGAAATGGACTGGATCGGCGACAGACTATCTAGACTCATACAAGAAGGGCACAGAGCTCTAAACACGGAGGTTGTGGTCATGAGTGAAGCGAAAGAGGATGAGGTGGATGATGGTTCAGGTGACTGGGAGGAAGAGCAACCTGCCGCTGGTCCATCTGTGTCCAGGCGGAGTTCCTTCCGCCAAACACATCAGCCCCGTAACATTCAACCCCCATCCTACTCGGCCTTTACTTCATCTTCTCCGAGCTCGTCACCTAGGAAGCGTAAATATGTTGGCGATGCTGTACACCTTTCTCCTGATCGCCAAAATTTCTCAAGGTTGTCAGTACCCAGTACACCTCGTCGGATTGCTCGCGAATCTTCGATGGATATTGGCGTCTGCGCTACTGTTACAAGCAGCTTCAAGGAGGATGTGAGTGCCTGGCAGAGTCCAGAACTCAGAGAGTCGATGGAGAGGGCAAGAGCGCAATACCTCCAGAGGCGGATGGGCGCACGATCATGATGGAACTTTCTGATATGTATTACTTACGTACTGACACTTTCTTGATCACTGGCACTGTCTCTTAACGAAGTATGGTCTAGGAATTTTTCAAGTACATGCTGTATCATTAGAATCACTTTAGCCAATGGTCATGCGCCATTTGGCAGTTTTCCACAAGAACCGGAACTATTTCTGATTATTTATGGCAACACTCAGAATTAGAACACAAACTCGTTTTGGAAACCGATATGCACGCACTACTCGCGTTACGTTGTTCAGCGTGAGTGTCGAAAGCTGCGGTCGAAAGTTGAACGGCCATACAATATAACAGCCACGCTGCAGCCTCATTAACTCCAAGGTCGACTGATCCGAATCAGAAACCGGGTTGCAATGTTAGGGCTCCGCAGTGAACGTGAGCTGTGCGAATTCGAAACGATCAAGATGAACGCACGATGCGCAGCGTGTCCGGCATTCTAATTAGAAAGCTTTGCATGACCTTCCTTACGTCTCCTGCCGTATACTCACATTCTTGGACTATTTGGACTCCCTGGTACACCTTGCAACTCTTATCTTCAAGGACTTCTCCCTCCATCCCCATGCCATCCTATGGTCTGACGAAGCGTGGTATACGATTTTTGCTCCTCGCCATCGTATTGTGTTTCAGTGCTCCCTGGAATACTTTATCACCGTGAAACTGTGCGGAAACTACTTCACTGATCACCTACCGCCATTGTACGAGGACTATCGAGAGCGGGAGCAAAATTTGGGGGCATTACAAGGAGTACGAAACGAGCAAGGATGTTAAATATCTTTGGTCAGCCAATCATGCACATAGTGGGTGATCCTTTCTTTAATTTGAATCATCACGCGTTGACCGTGCACAGGCTCAGGATGGGGAAATGTGATGCAAGACTATGTGATGAATGCGCTGCTTGCACATACCACAGGACGCTCGTCAGTCTATTCCTTTACACGTTCTCTCTCTTGATTCCCACATTCCTGATTTTGGTTTTCGATGACGTGTAGTTTTGTCTTTGATGACTACATCTGGAGGCCAGATGGTACACTCTTTACGGATTATAATGGGCATTTAATTCCCTCTCGGATTCCCCTGACAGCACTATTAGGCGGCAAGTACAACATGGTCAATTTCCGCGTATACACACCATTGACTGACTGTTCTAGGCATCATCGTGGGTGGTGAAATGCCACCTGGTGACACCACTCCTCGCGCAGTGTCTAAGGATTTCTTCAACAAAGTCTGCCCCAATCCGACAGTCGTTCATGTGACCGAAGTGAACGATGATCGTATGCGATTCGATGAAAGCGTGCCAGCTTCGTATATATTTGAGAAGTGGCTCGAAAAAATTAACTCGATTGAGGATCCGTGTGTGGAAATCGACCCGAAGAGTGATGCAATCTTTGAGTACTGGTGAGTCATACATATCGTCTTTGGATGACTAGTGGGAGACGCCAGACTTCACGTAGGATATTTGGACACGAGAGAATGTTGTCCATATGGAAGTACCTCAAGGATTCCCCGGTATCCACGCACTGGGGGTGGTCGCCTTTGATACACGATGCATACAGACGAAATCGCCACATCTTTGTGCCGAATGCGAAATCTACTTTTTTCGAAGGGCTTTCTGGTTCGGCTGTCACGGAAAACTACACAGCCCCGATACCTGGCCTCCTAGCGCTACACGTGCGAAGGGGTGACTTCCAGGACCCACTGCGTCCACCTGGGCAAATGGTCATCAAACTGGAATGCGTTCAATTTGTTCCCTGAGTTCTCCGACAGGTTCCAAAGGCCCACTGATGGCGGATGGGGCGAGACATCCGAGAAGAACATGCAGATGTATATGCACCGGTTGCTTTCCCACAATCGACCAAATCGTCCAGAAAGTCGTACAAGTGCGCGTCGAGTCGGAAGAGCCGCTGACGCATGTCTACATCATGACCAATGGCGCTGTCGCTTGGGTTGAGGAGCTGAAGGAGGCTCTTCGGAACTCTGGGAAACTGGGCCCAGATCAAGAGCAGCCGCGATCTCGACATTACATGGGAACAGAAATTTGTGGTGCAAGCGTTGGATATGTTGGTAGCTCAAAGATCTGAAGTGTTTATCGGGAATGGGGTAAGAGCTGCTGTAGCTTAATTGCTGGTACAAAACTGACGAGCGTCTCGTTACAGTGGTCGAGCTTGACCTCGAACGTTGTGATGCTGCGTATGGCGCAGAGTTTTCCTCCGGATAGTAACAGATTCTGGTAATGACGCTCACGACCTGCTTCGTCTACGATAGAGGCACGGACGGATGGACGATCTATTATGTTTATTGTTTGGTGAATACAGCCGTTGTGCGCCAAAGTATAGTCGCTACAGTAATACACTATTTTCTTCGTGTCAGGGTATACACCTGCTTATGTTGCAGATATCAAACATGATTTATCTGGCGATACGAAACTTTCCTGCATCGACGTCGAACGGTTCAAGGCCATGGCATGTCTGCAAATTTTGGACAGAGAATATCAAGGTCCGAGAGTCCTAATCACTAACCTGGTTACTGCATGGAGACATAACAAGGCTAACAACTTGAACTCTATTCAGATTAGTGTAGGGGGCAGAACTACTTGGATTTAGTTCTGCCGGTTGTAACCGGCAAAAACTGGCAAAACTCTAGGAGGGCCGAGGGCCGAGGCTATGCATTGGACTAAGTGTACGACATTCCCAACGATGACATTCAATATTGCCTCATCCCATCCGTCACCCGCACCTTTTCAACTCTTTGAGAGCTGCAAATTCATCAGTTTAATGTTATCAGGCGAGATACGCTCTGGACCCAGCAAGAAGGTCATCTGCATGGCGAGGCTCAGTCGAGAGCAGAGGTGTCCACGCGAAGGATGCTTCAAGACCCCCGGGCCGGGGGCGCCCACCAGCATGCCACTATCTTACTTTAGGGACGTCAGTTTTCATGTTCCCTGGATTCAAACTGTGTTATCAGAGATCTCAATCACGTCTCTCGGATACCCTGGGGTTCTGTCACCCTCCTTTTGCGTGAGTTCTGCCGTGGACCAGGCACAACCAGATTTGCCAAACTGGTTGGCAAAACTCTCGCCCGAGTGCTGCCTAACAACACTATCTATTTTGTAACATTCAGTACGTAGTTTCCGGCACCGTCATGAAGACTACATGGCTACGTAGTATGCAAGCGTCCCTCGAATACTCGTCATCATGGAAGGCTGATTCATTCTCCCGGCTTATCGCAATTGGCAATTCAGTATCTCCCTTGCATCTAGAACTGATTTGTAGCTCAAGGGGATCTTGATGGAGTTGTGGTCTGTTAAGTCATAAACGCTAGGATCCGTGGCAGGCGGCCCATGTCGTAATACCTACTTTCCCGATAACGTCGCCACCTTCGATAACACTGCCGAATTCATCAAGGAGTAATATTGTAAAGTACTCTTGCTGTTCTGCACTCCAACATTTGCAGACGAGGTCTTCTCCCTGTTTCCCCTTGACGTGGGCATCGTTTTATCACACGGCGACCTGATACCCCAAAACCTCATAGCAGACGGGTCGACTATCACCGTGATAGTAGACTGGGATTTTTCCCGGAATATTTGGAGCACTGTGAGATGCATTCTCCAGACTGGATGACACCGAAATGGTACTATGTCCTCCAGTCCGTCTTTCCATAACAGCCCTACCAGCACATAATCAAGGCACTCCACTGGTTGACAACGATTGTTTGGCGAACGCTTCTGGTATAGGTGAAGTGGAGCCAATGAAACATATTATACCGTGCCCTCCGCATCTACATCAATACGAGTACAAAGGGCAACTCGTGTACGAGTATTAATAATGTCAAGGTACAGAAGAGAACTACTCAATTTCCGTGTTTCAAGATGCATGAGCAGCCACTCGTTGCGAGGGCAGCATTTCCATTAGCAATGTAGAGTTACCCTCCATTCTTCGTTGAGAGCTGAGGGTAACACGAGTAAGAATCGTAGCACAGGCGACATCAGTACTAAAAGACCGTGACTTACCAGGGATCCAAGCAAGGAAGATGGCTTTTGTGGGCTCATCACTCATGTCCATCATGTATCGATATGATTCGAGTGCTGCTCCAAATTGACCTCCCCGAATTAGTGCATGGCATCGTTGCTGGTTTGCAGTTTGCCACAAGGACTTAAGGTCCCAGCCGAAAAGCTGCACAAGCACGCGGTTGAGCATGGACAGATATGATTGTATCGAGTCATATCAACGTACCACGACAAAGCCCTCGTACATAGAATGAATGTCCGACTTAGAAAAGAAAGCGCCAGCGTTGACAGCGGCAGTGAAGTGGTCAACAGCTTCTTTGTAAAGGGCGCTATCCATGGCAATGATTCCCAGCTGAACTCGCAAATATGCCTGATGTGCGAAGCACGGAAAAACCAGTGAGTATACGAACCTGGGCTTGGGTCAAGCGTATGATACTTACTTCCACGACACGACAAGCGAGAGGATCGGCATTTGGACGGGCAGCTAGCTCTTGGACGAAACGCATTGCCTCTTCATGGTTATTTGCATTGAACAATGCGATGGCCTGAAAAACCTCTAATGAAGGATCGAATATGAATCGAAGATTTACCTACCTTGATCAAGAAAACAAATTGCGTCATCTTTGGATCTCCGTCGGTGGACGTGAATGCGAGGTCAAATTCTGTCATCGCTTCTCGGACCTGTTGTTTTCCCGCAGAGCGCGATCCCCTTGGAAATATAGCCTGACAACGGAGGCTGAATGCTAACAGACTATGTCATGATCATCAATAGGGGGGACACGGTGAGGCGACGCCAGCGTACTCACCTCGCTTGCATCATGAAGTGCGCGGTCCCAGTCGAGTTGTCGCGCCATGACGAATGAACGGTTGGCATAGGAGGTACAGCAGTTGGCATTAACGTCGATCTCTTGTGTGGGTAATTGTTCGGCGGTAGCCAAGTCCCCCCGTGATGCATGCATTACGGATGGTCGTGTCGATAACCAGGATCTGCATGAAGGCAGTGCCATGCTCGACTTGTGTTACATGAGTCAATATTGGAAACATGCCTTTAAATCAAAGCATTGAACCTTTGAATCAAAAAGACGCGAGATGAGATGACGAAGGGGCCGGGAAATCAAGTGGAAAAGTACCTTTGCCACCTGTTCCTTGAGAGCATCCTTCGGCAAAACATCCTCGGGTACTGCCCACTCTGAGACCTGCTTATCCTCATCTCCGCTGAGGATATGCTTCCATCCATCGAGAAGGTGACGCAACGCACGGGGTGAGAGTGCTTGAATACGATAATGGTTCGTCGATCTGACAAGCGACCAGAGGCGCGCATGGTTATCAAAAGATACGGAAAACGAGGAGTGAGCCAGCAGGGTGAATGGCGATGGCGTAGATTGCGCGAGTATGGCCTGTCCAAGGATCACCGACCTGCTCCCAAGTCGATGCATCCCACTCTCGTATAGTGGAATCAGGGCTGGAGCCCGCTGAGAAGAGGCGTGTACTATCAGACGTCCACGCGAGCGATATGTTGAATTGTATGTGACCCTTGAAGTTTGCAACGCATTCCCCAGTGTCTGGATGATAAACTTCGATATTACTCTGTGTTGCAATCGCGAGAAGTACGCCAGACGGGGAATACCGAACGCAGCGGACCGAACTACTACACGTAATTTGGTGTCTTTGGAGCAGCCATGTTTTGTGTGTTCCACAACTTTGTCGTGGAGTCGCTTGAACCAGTTGCCAGTACGGTACCATCAGGAGAAAAAATCCAACGTGTTGATTAGACTGGAGTGGGCTTTGATGGAGGCCTGGGTCGCCCAGGCGAGAGATTCTCTGAGCCAGGTGATGACTTCTCCGTTGGCATCGCCACTTGCTATCAATTGCCCATCTCGTGATACCGCCAACGCCAACACCTTACTTGCCATGGCCAGCCCATTTTCTTCAACACTACACCTGTCTTCAAGTCCCACAGATAAAGCAACTTATCTTTTGAGCCGGTGATCATATGTTGTCTGTCGGGGAAAACTGCGACTGCAGTGACAGCGGATTCATGATCTTTAAACTGTCGATTGGGTGCGGTGTAAGTTAGCTGTGACATTTGACTGGAGGCTGATGGTGTCGAGCACGCTCCAAGTGGACTTGGTAGAGGTATGATTGTGGGTAGAGCTGTAGAGGTGCGTGCATTTTATCCTGCTTCGCAACAATCGATCAGACGCTCAAGGCATGAGGCTTTATCATAAGTCCCTTGGTACCATAGCATTCCAAATGAGCTAATGAGCTTTCCTCATGGCATGATCGACGTTGAATAGCCTTATCGAATATGGTGGATCCAACCCTTCGACCAGAAATCCAACTCAACATCAAGATTTGAGCGTGGACAGCATAATGTTTGGTGACCGTTATGCAAGCTCATCACCGGCCACCGGCATACCACAACAACAGCCTGTCATTCTCCATGTCCCGAGGCAGGACGCTTCTTTCCTGCATGTTTACGGGCCTGTCTAGAACGCGCTGTTATAACGACGACACGAATAACTCTTTAACACGTTCCAGGAAAGCTTATTGATGAAGCTATCCTAGCTGTTCCTTATCATTTTGAACCTCGATTAAGTTCATCATAACCATAGATGTGGCATGCAGTCCGGTGACATGTCGAACTTCTATTCCCTGGGACATTCTTACTGCAGATTCGGACGGTCGCGGGGTTATTTGTATTGAAGATAGTCGATAACCAGCTGTTCGAACTCTGCTTTGTAACCCTTACGTCAGACCTCATGTTCGGCAGCACATCGATACCGGCACGACAGTCGCGGATCGGCATATATTACTGGTTCACCACCTTTGCCTGGCTTCTGTTAAGAGAATCGACCAAGACTGCCATCGGTCTGCATCTATGCTTGGTCTTCTTCGTATTGTATTCGTGTCAGCATGATAATGATACGCCTCTCTTTGGAGGTGATGTTTCACTCATGGCCTTCAAATATTTTGACCCTCGAAGGACCGGATAGAGATCGAGAGCCATACACACTAGATCTTACGGATCATTCAGATGGTGGCATATGCAAATGAAGGAGGAAATGATTCCGAAGCTTACGGTTCAGTTTAAGTGGAGCCACCTGGTGCAGGTGGAAAGGAACACGTGTTATGGGCGTACTAGCTCTCGAACGATGGCTTAAACTTTGGACTTCAATGGATCAACGGTGAAGGAAATGATATCTGCCGCCGCCGCCGAGGTCTCATGGTCTGTAAACATTAATATTAAGTGATTTGTTTTCAGTCACCCCACTCGGAAAACAAGTACATGAAATATCGACGTAATCGCACAAAAGATCTCCGGGGCGAGGACTGTCACCGTATGTCCGTTGGTGGCATATAGCGTCTTGCATTCTTACTTGAGAGCTCAGTGAAAGGGCGATCGGGGACCGTAGCATGAGTGACATTTACTAAAAAGACTCACCAGAGAATCAAGCACATAAGCTGGCCGTCGTAACTTCATTACTCGCATCTATCATGGATCGGTACGATTCGAGTGCTTCTGCAAGTCTGCCAGTCCGAACGAGCGCAAGACATAGTTGCCTATTGGGCGATTGGCCACAATGTCTCGAGATCCCACCCGAAATAGCTGCGAAAACGCACAGCTGAGCGTGAAAGGATTTGTGGTTGTATCATAGTATCTAATATGAACTCGATATCACTATCCGGACTCCGTTGCAATCGCAAGGCGCTCACCAGATGGCGAATATCGAACGCACTCCAACGCAGCGGACGTCACTATTACACTGGATTAGATTTCCTTGCCATGGAGATCCAATCGAGTGTAGTAGTGGTATCAGCCACGTCTCCTTACTCCACAGCTTCGTATTTCGATCCAGTGAACAAGTGACGAAACTCCGTCTGATCCTGGAGAAAATGTCAATGTGTAAATTCGATTGGAGTCGGCTTACATGGCTTCGGTGAGCGAGTCTCCAGTTTCTCCGTGCCAGGTGATGATCCCGCTCCCATCGCCACTCCCCACACCTCACTGCGATGCCCTACCATGTTCTTCAAAAACTACCCCTATCTTGAAGTCCTCGCAGATAGAGGATCCATCTTGTTGTACGAGCCTGTGACCCATACGTCGTCTACAGGGAATACTGCGACTGCGAGTACTGCTCCATTATGATCTTTAAACGCTCGAACGGGTGAGAGACCTGAAATGAACTGTACCATTTTTCTGGAGGTCGAGGTGGACAAAAGGAGAAGGATAGCGAGTGGAGCCACAGAGGGGCACCTGGGTGTTTGTTGATGCTTCACCACATGATCAAACGCCCGAAACATGAGGCTCTTATCATAAGCACTGGCACATGTGTCCAACTTGCGTCGCCGCAGCTTTAAAGATGACCCAACGAGCTCTACTGGTGCTATGATAGTCATGGCAGGTTTGAACAACATTAATATCGAATGGACTCAATACTTCGAATATCAAGAAACTAACTCGATACTGATATGCAATCGCCAGCCACGAGCTGTGAATCCCGGGAGCAGATTGATCCAGGAGCCGAGAAGAGACCTGTTATTGTTTCATCCATCAACTTTGAATCAAGGGTCTGAAATCGGGCAGAAAAGAGCACGAGTTGCAGCACGTTTGCATGGTGTCTTGGTTGCTGGTGACGAACACTTGGAACCATGTGTATCGGAAGACGAGCGCAGCGGAGCGTGCTTAATCTGATGGATATATCATAGGCAGAGTAAGTCGTAAGTAGGGTAGTATCCGAAATAAACAACAATAAGAAAGATATTGTCGTACCGTCACAGCTCATAGCACTCCGCGTTGCAAAATCCATGCATAATAGACGCCTAATCCATAACCCACCACCTTACAGACTGACATGCACCAATCTCGGGGTGGAGGAGAACCGCGGAGAGCCATATTGTAGTTGTCCTCCGGCGACGATCGACGAAAGCTGCTCTGTAGCGCGAAAAGGGGATTTCGGGGGGAGGGCTGGGATGAATGTGTTGATGTTTGACGGGTGACTGATACTGAGATTTTGTTAAACTAGAACGAGGGGTAGACGCACAGGTAATGAATGTTTCAGAGCATCGTACAACAGCACGAAATCGCTATACCGCTTATGTGCGTGGATAGTAGTACCCTATTTACGGTCACCTCGGATCTGAACTACAACATAGAAGGTATGCGAACCTCTTTTGTGCGGATCACACAGTCATACACGACATAAGCTCCACCAGCTTATCACCTACGCTCGTCCCACCCCGCGATATGCACATTTCGGGCAAAAGCGAGACTCGTGCCTGAGTTGTCGTTTAGCCAAATGTCGCGCGAGAAAATAGAGGGTGGTCCCTGAGGAGATTTGGGCCGGGTGGATGGGCGAAGGACACTTGATCCTGGATGGTGGTCAGTTAAGTATTTTGGACGGTATTGAAAGAGCGGAGAACGAACGTCACACAACTCATCGTACAATCGTGCTTCTGCTTCGACGTCAATTCCATCGTCCGGAATGACAACGAGAAGGCTTTCTGTATTTCGGAAAGGATGAGTGGGCGCGGGCATAGTGTTGACAGTGGGGACGAGAGCAAGTTTCCCCGATGACAAATCGGCCCGAGTCACTACATATAAATCGAGCTTGGACTTCCGCGATATATTGGTTCAATTTGATTATCGCAACGAGCAGCAAAGCAAAAGGTACCTAGACCACGTTTGATTTCCTGCCATGTTCGTGTACTCCACGGCTCTGTCTTGCCTCACCCGGTCGCCAGCATGGAGCCGCATCTGGGGAAATCAAGCGATTTATACAAGGGTTGAGAACTTTGGTTGGTGTTTGGTTCAGAATGGATAGGTTCTTCCGTCCCCAGTCTCCGTAGTGACCATCGCTTGCTATCAATTGCCTGTCGGTAGTGTACCGCCGTTAGCAGTATCTCCACCTCATCGCGTTGCCCCTTCATTTCTTCAACACAAGACCGTTCTCCCCAGACGAAGCACCTTGCATTCCGCTGCCACTATATGTTTTCAGATTTCACGGTCCTTTCAAATTCTTTAACAGGTGTTTTGATTGGAACGATGAATTGCTCTGCCATCCTGGTGGATGGCTGGTCGTCTTGAGCAGTGAGCACGGAGGTGGTCTTGGTGAAGGACCGCGGGTGCCTTGCTGCTGTGGAGGTCTGTGTCTTTCACGTGGCTTGTTTCATAGACGCTCATGACAATTACCGTCACCCCCAACATCACTACAGGTGGGAAAACGTGCAACTCTTCAACCCACCGCCATTTCTACTGCAGTACCGAAGGAGACAAGCAACAATACCTAGGAGGGAACTACGTAAAGTGCAGCCTTCTCCAAATGAACTTCATGCTGACCATCGCATGTACTTGAAAATAGACTTGGGGCCGGCGAATGTGGGAAGGGATAGTTGGCATTGATTTATCCAAACCCGTTCACAAGTTCAACGTTCAATGCTACAGTCAATGTTCGCAGTAACGGGTATCTCAGCCATTTCCCAATACGCCACGCAAGCGACTGGAGTACAGTTTGAGTGGAGGGTGTATCGTACCAATTGAACCCGGAATGGAAATCGATTGCGCCTTGATCTACGACGCATGTTTGGGAGGCTACAAGACCATGTCTCCCGGTCAATGATTAATGTGG